TAAGGATAACCAAAAAAACAATAATGGCGCAAAGATATCTTTTTACGGCGCATTTCAGCGCATACCTGAGAGTACAATTTCGTATAAAAGATGTTAAAAAAAAGTCACTTTTAAAAACGTTAAGTTGGCCTCCCCACTTTTTAAAAATTTGTTATGGCTTAACCGTAATGGCGCTAGCTTTAATTCAAGTGGCGCAATTGAGCTCATAACCAGATGTATCAAGTGGCACAAATACCGGTAGCAAAATGCGTTATGGGGGATTCCGTTCACTTGCCCCCCCCCTCCCAAATATATTTAAGGATAACCAAAAACAATAATGGCGCAAAGATATGTTTTTACGGCGCATTTCAGCGCATACCTGAGAGTACAATTTCGTATGAAAAGATGTTAAAAAAAAGTAACTTTTAAAAACGTTAAGTTGCCCCCCCACTTTTTGAAAATTTGTCACGGCTTAACCGTAATGGCGCTAGCTTTAATTCAAGTGGCGCAATTGAGCGCATAACCAAATGTATCAGGTGACCTAGTTACAAGGGACAAAATACGTACTGGGGGGGGGGGCTACGTTCACTTGGCCCACCCCCAAATGTTTTTTCGGATTTCTAAAAAACTATAATGGCGCAAGAGTTATTATCGGTGGCACATATGAGCGCATAACGAGCGCATTCATTTCAAAATAATACGACTATCAAATCTCTCAGTGGGGGGGCCAAGTTAACGGACCCCTAAAAAGGGCATAAACAGTGGACCTTCCACAGTCCACCTGTAAAACTTTTGAAAACCGCTTAGAATGCACCAAAAAGCACATAGACAGCTTTGTGCAACGAAGCTACGGTAAAAGCACTTTGAATTTATGTCTATTCAGCCTCGCAAAAGTTGCAAAGAGCCTGAAATGCTTTGTAAGGAGCATATACAGTGTTTTTCCAGAACTTCTACTATGAACTTTATGGATCCTTTCGAAGCTGTATCAGCGTTCAGTTTTTTAAAGTACCTGATAGACAATTTTTTTGTTAAAAAGCTCTAAGAAACCTTGAACTTTTTTGACCATATGAACACTTTCAGAGCTGGACTCCACTAGAAAATTTTGGAAAACCCCTAGAGCACCCGGGATAGGGCATAGAGTGCTAAGAAGCTCAGAAAAAGCTTTGCATTTTTCCTCATTGTCGGGGCATCGAATACTTTTGAAAGGTTGGGGAAGCGCCTGAAATGCACTGAAAAGGGCCTAGACTATAATTCTCGGGAAAACCTCGAAGTTATGGTTTTTTTTCAGAGTCCTGGAAAATACTCTGCAAGGGGCATAATTTGCTAGAAAGGCCAGCAAAACCTTGAACTTGGTTGAACTTACGAACTTATCCATAGTTGGACCAATCTTGAATGCTTTGGAAAACGCTCTGAAAGGTGCATATGCAGCGTTGCGCAAGAAAGGTGAGGAGGTCTTCTTTACCTTTATGGATGGTTTTGGAGGTAAGAAGGTAAGAAGGTAAGAAGGTTGAAGGTAAGAAGGTAAGAAGGTAAGAAGGTAAGAAGGTAAGAAGGTAAGAAGGTAAGAAGGTAAGAAGGTAAGAAGGTAAGAAGGTAAGAAGGTAAGAAGGTAAGAATGTAAGACGGTAAGAAGGTAAGAAGGTAAGAAGGTAAGAAGGTAAGAAGGTAAGAAAGTAAGAAGGTAAGAAGGTAAGAAGGTAAGAAGGTAAGACGGTAAGAAGGTAAGAAGGTAAGAAGGTAAGAAGGTAAGAGGTGAGAAGGTGAGAAGGTGAGAAGGTGAGAAGGCGAGAAGATAAGAAGGTAAGAAAACCTTGAACTTCTTTGAACCTACGCAATTCACCTTTTATGGATCTTTCAAAAGTTGGACCAGTCCTGAAATATTTTATAAAATTTAACTTATGAATGCTTCCAAAGCTGGACTAGTTTTGAAAGGGTTGGAAAGCGACCAGAATATCCTTGGTAGTCATACTCAGGTGTGTACAGAAACCCCAGAGGATACTCGAACTCTTTTGAACTGATGGGCTCTTCCATGGATGGACGGTTCTTAGAAAGGACCTGGAATGCTCTCAGTTTTGTGCTAGAAAGTTCTTTGAACTTATGAATCAGGACTGTATATGCAAAATATGCGTGTATCATAATGCTTCATTTAGATATCGCTTCAGCAAGGTACCTAACCTTTGCTTTAACGCAATGCGTCTCTGTCACTTGTATATTATCGTTGCGTAAGCGAGAGAGATTAAAATTATGTTGCGAGAGAACCTTTGGTATTGATTACTGATAGCCCTTGTTTCTAGGGCAACATTTTGACACTGTGTCGTAACCCTTCGCGTCGTTTGTAAACATTCGAAAGTTGTTTTCCTCATTACGTTGCGTAACAATAATAATCGCCGGGTATCGGCAAAATATTCAAAGGGCGAGAAATCAATAAAAAGTATTCCCTAAAGTTACGAATTTATTTGGGGGACGGGTTAAATCGGTAAATCTTCCAGCTCAACGCACAACCTGACAGGGGGTGTGATTTAGGGAGTGGGTTAAAACAAAACTAGGTCGGATGAGATATTTTATTGAAAGGTCACTAGATAGAGAAACTAATAGGCTGTTAACTTCCAGTATTTGCGCTCCTTGCTGTACATGCGACGGCCGACTGTAATCATGTGGATTTTGTCGAACTTGGTGCCGGCCAGTGATATCTTCTCGAGGTCGAGGAGGGCGTCGAGGATTTTCCAATCGTCGATTTGCGTGTACGCCAAGCCAATGGAGCGAAGCTGCGGCTGGTGCAAGACTGGAGGGCCGATTGTGACTAGAGGGTTGCCTTCGAGCTCCAACACCTTCAGCTTGTACAGGGTGTCCAGGAAATTGGAATCCAGCGACTTGATCTGGTTGTAGCTCAGGTCGAGGTTGTAAAGGTGCTTGCAGTTTCGGAAGAGGTCCGCGTTTATGTTTTTAATGTTGTTGTTGTTTAGGAAGAGCCGTTCCAGCACTTCGAGGTTGTCGAAGATGCCCTGGGGCAGTTCTTCAATGGCGTTCCCTTTGAAGGACAGTTCGGACAGTCTTCTAGTCGCGACAAAGGCATCCTTGGGGAGCACACGCAGATGGTTCCCATCTAAGTTGATCCCGCGCACGTTTCCCAGTCCGTTGAAGCACCCCTCTTCCAGCGTACCGATGGAGTTGTTCCTCAAGTCCAGTTCGAGCAAGACGTGTACATCAGCGAAGGTGCCCTTTTCTAACTTCTCCAGCTTGTTGAAGCCCATTTTCAGCCTGAGCAACTTACTTAAACCACTGAACGTATTCGCACTAACTTCGCTCACGGCATTATGGTCGAGATGAAGTGCTTGCAACTCCCCCAAACTCGAAAATACCCCATCGGGCAGTTTAGTAATTTTATTCTTTTCCAAGTGCAGGTACGCCAACTGCTTGAGGCTGCGGAAGATGTCCTCGTGCAGCGATTCCAAGTGGTTCTTGGACAGCTTCAGCTCCTGCAGCGATGTCAAATCGTCAAAGGCCTTCCCACCGATCGCGCCGATTACGTTGTCGGACAAAGATAGGTAGATCATTCCGTTCAGTCCGGCGAAGAGGCCGTTGGGGATTTCGCCGATTTCATTGTCTGCCAGCGTAACCCTGTAGAGCTTGGGGCAGTCCTTGAAGATACCGACGTCCAGAGAGCGTATGTTGTTGTCATCCAACTCCAAGAGGGCTAAACTGTTGAGACCTTTGAAGATTGTCGGGGGTAACTCGACAATTTTGTTGCTACCCAGCGCGAGCCACTCCATGTGAGTTTGCTGCCTAAAAATCTCTTCGGGTAGCTTCGCCAGACGATTGTCGGCCAAATTCAGTATGGTCAGGTCCTTTAAGGCGGCGAAGACGTGCTCGGGGAGGCTCTTCAGGTGATTGTTGTCCAAGTAGAGCCAGTTCAGTTTGGTCAGACCATCGAGGACTCCCTCAGGCAGCTCCATGATGCGGTTCTTGGCCAAATTCAGATTGCTCACCTGGCTCAGGCCGAGGAAGGACTTCGAGTCGAGAGTTTCGATTTCGTTGCTGGGAAGCACCAGGTACTTAAGCGAGGTTTGTTCGAACATGCCCTTCTGTAGGTGCGCCAGGTTTTTGTTTTTGTTTCCAATCAGCTGCAACTGGAACAGCGATGGGAGGTTTCCGAAGAGCGCAGGCGGCAGGTCGTCAATTTCGCACCTCATGAATGTGACGCTGTGTAACGCGGGATGATTCGCGAAAGTCTTAATGTGAATTAATCCAAGTTTGCACTCGTTGAATGTCACATCCTGCAGCGCCTTGAATTTTTGGAAGAAGGTCTCATCGAGATTCGGAAAAGTGCAATCGTGAAATTTAAGATGAGTAGCCGACTCACTGATCTGCTGCAAATCGTTCAGTGTTTTATGACTGATAGTCACCACCGCCCGATTTTCATCATCTTCAGCAGTTGCCAATAAAGGCACAGCAGACGCGATTAAAAGAAAAAGTAACGTTTTCATGTCCACAAAACACGAAGACCGATCACACACTGCTGTTGTTGTCGAACGACACCAAGAAGCCTGCTCCTCATAGTGATAACCTCTCGGCAATCAAAGCGATTAGGGAAATTGCTTAAAAAGAATTTCACAATGCGGCACCTTGACCAAATACGTCGTAACTTGTTTTTGTTTTGCAAAACCTTTACTCCGATCTTAGACGGTCATTGTACAGTAAACGTTGTATGACCTCCTCGCCTCTCTTCAGAACAACGTACCCAGAAACACACAACAAAATTTGCAGGGAATCCTGGAGAAACACAAAAAAAGTGCGTCTCAATTAATTACCTTTCTGTGTTCCTGATAAGTACATTGACTTTTAAGAAGAGGTTATCTCCAGGAGACGATTGTGGTACAGAAACCTCCGCATCAGGAGAACATAATACTTAGAAGTACAACATCTTTGAAAGGAAGTTGTGCTCATTAAAAATCTACAATCTTCCAAGCTTGTGGTTTTAATTCCTCAATTTTCAAACAGAAAATGTTGTATTAGGAGAGCTTCCTTGAGCGTCTGTTACACGAATACTGCTCACTTTTAAGGAGAAACTCACGAAAAATACACAAATTTGTATTTTGTTCAGAATAGGAAAATTTACACATGCACGGCTTCGTAGCGAACGTGAACGAAAGTATGTCTGGCGATGACCAGCGATAAGAAGAAATTTATTTTCGGAAACCGGACACGGTGCTCTAATAATTCGGTCACGTGAGCGATCACATCTACTGTTTGTGCGTGAATTTTTCCATCGTTCTAATTCATTCTAAGTTGACCTTGTGGGATAAATCAAATTTGTATACAACGGCATTCGGCAGGAAATAGGGGAATATAGTATCTACGTTATTTTAAATTTTTCAGTCAAACTCGATTATTTCTTGGAATTTGCGTATTAATTTTGGTTTGAGGTAATTTTGATATTCCTAAAGGAGTCGACCTATGAGAATTATTTGCATGAACTGATATTACATTTATAAATAAGAATCGCATCCAAGCAATGGATATTGGATATTTTGCTTTTTTGATTGGATTCTTGCATTTAATTTCGGTGGTACCATACCTTTAGTTGGGTTAACATTTTATTTAGCATTCAGAGGCTAGAGGATATTTTGGACAGAAAATGTACCAGAGATTTGTTGTATGGTGAAGATGAATTTTAGATATGAATCAAAGTTATGATGGACCTGTGAACCCAAAATTGCCATCGTACTTTTCTCTTCATTTTTATGGGTGAAATTCGTAATTCACTTCCAAGAACATGTTTACCGTAGCTCACATCAGACATCAGGCATCAGGCGTCAGGCATCAGGCATCAGGCATCAGGTATCAGGCACCCGCATCAGACATCATAACTGATGGTTCGTGTAATAAAAGCAGAAAGACCTCCTCGAACATTATATGCTCCTGATACAAAATTTGAAATATTTAAACCGAAATTTGGCTTTGAAATATGTTTGTGGGTGATTGGAACAGACCTCGTCAAGTCATTAGAAAGCGTCTAAGAAAATGGGCGTGGCTATAAAAGGGCTGGAGTGTCTAAGAAAGGGGCGTGGCTTAAAAGCGCCTAAGACAAGAGGCCGTGACCGGAAAAATCCTAGAAGACGGCTAAGGGAAAGGGGCGTTGCTGTAAAAGCTTTCGATGCCGTTTAAGAGGAAAGGGCGGGGATCTAAAATCTTTAGACAGCGTGACCAGAAGAGCTTTAGAAGGCGCCTAAGAAAAAAGGGCGTGGCTAGAAAGGCTTTACGATGCGTCTAAGAAGGAGGGCGCAGCCAAAAAAGCTTTAGAAAACGCCTAAGGGAAGAGGGCGTAGCCGGTAAAGCTTTAGAATACGCCTAAAGGAAGAGGGCGTGACTGTAAAAGCTTTTGAAAGCGACTAAGTGGAGAGCGCGTGGCCATAAAACCTTGAGGAGGCGTAGCCAAAAAAGCTTTAGTAGACGCCTAAGTGAAAAGGGCGTGGCCAGAAAAGTTTAAAAGGGCGTGGCTAGAAATGCTTTACGAGACGTCTAAAGAAAAGGCGTAATCAAAAAAGCTATAAAAGGCGTATAAAAAAAGAGGGCGTGGCTCTAAAACCATCTGAAAGTGCCTAAGTGGGGAGGGTGTGGCCACAAAGCATTAGAAGGCTCCTACAAGATTAGGGCGTGGTCACAAAGCCTTTAGAAAGCGTCTAAGAGAAGACCGTCCCAAGTGATAGACACATTCACACACACTGTCCTCTTCTACTGAGCATTCTGTACCTTGAGCCCGTTTAATTCCGTCGAAGTAATTTCAAAGCTTAGGGGGTCAATAAGGGGCTCAACAAATGGTTCACCGAGGCCGTACCATACTCGTCCATCACCTATTTAAGCGACACTGTGCTCACGAATCACGATGTAAACCCAGCTCGCACAGAAATATTTCAACGCCTTACTTCGTCTTAAACTTTTACAAAGCTTGTATCAGGAGAATATAAAGTGGAAGGAGATTGAAGGTTAGAATCCTGGTTAGAATAAACTATTAGTGAGGTTAGGTTAGAGTGTTAGTTAGATTAGGTCAGAAATCTTGTATCAGGAGAATATAATGTGCGAGGAGATTGAAGGTTAGAATAAAATGTTGGTGAGGTTAGGTTAGAGTGATAGTTAGGTTAGGTCAGAAATCTTGTATCAGGAGAATATAATGTGCGAGGAGATTGAAGGTTAGAATAAAATGTTAGTGAGGTTAGGTTAGAGTGATAGTTAGATTAGTTCAGAAATCTTGTATCAGGAGGGTATAATGTGCGAGGAGATTGAAGGTTAGAATAAAATGTTAGTGAGGTTAGGTTAGAGTGATAGTTAGGTTAGATCAGAAATCTTGTATCAGGAGAATATAATGTACCAGGAGATTGAAGGTTAGAATAAAATATTAGTGAGGTTAGGTTAGGGTGATAGTTATGTTAGGTCCGAAATCTTATATCAGGAGAGTATAATGTGCAAGGAGATTGAAGGTATAGGATAAAAATGTTAATGAGGTTAGGTTAGGGTGGAATTTGACCTAACCTAACTATCACTCTAACCTAACCTCACTAATATTGTATTCTAACCTTCAATCTCTTCGCACATTATATTCTCCTGATACAAGATTTCTGACCTAACCTAACTAGCACCCTAATGCACGGTCTGCGCTCCTGGTAAAACGTTCTTAAAGAAGGAACTCGCATTACACATTAAATTCTAGAATGTATTTGTTGGCGAGACGACATCAGAGCGCCATCACCGAGCAGTGTATACTAAAGTGGTGATTTTTTAATTTTTTTTTTCTTTTACAGTTCTACAGTTTTGGTCCGATTGTTTTCAAATTGGTGTCGTGTCGTCTGAAAGATCTTGTAACCGCGCACAACTTTAAATAAAAGACTCGATATTAGATAAGATAAAACATGAAATAATGTTTATCTTCCAACTAAGCCCTCATCCTTTTCTGTTTTCCCGGTGGAACGATGTTTAAGAACGGAACTGGTATTAGGTAAACATACAACAGTGAAGGTGTTTGCTCACGAATTCCGCTTTAATTGCATCTACCTACGATCCTGCCGCTCTAGTGCAAGGAATTTGTGAACGAGAAACGTGCTTGGGTGGTATTTTTTTACAGAAGGTAAACCATTTCCGCAGCTTTCACATTAGAATATTATAGAATTGTTAACGAATTTAAGAGATCCAATTTTTTTCAGTTAAACTAAATGCTTATCGTCTCGATTTCGACGATTTGCAAGGGAATAGATATTAAGCGTCATTGGTTCTCTTCAAAAGTCAAACAATGAAAAATGAAGTCGATTTGAGCATAAACGACAGCAGCAAGAGTTTGCTTTTAGCTTTGTTTTGTTATGTAAATGGATTCCAATACGGCTAATAATCTAAAAAGGCTTTCCAAATTACTTCATCGGCACATCATTCATAGAACGCTCAGTTGCCAGACGTCGAGAGAATAGGGTCCGATTTATCTGCCAAGAGAGACCACGCTTCCGGGATGATTGATACATAGTTTTGGGGATCATTCTTAGTTCATGGACAGCTTCCCTTTAAATTATCTCTAGAAATTTAAGATATGTAATTCAGCTCATTTTGTATAACAGTGTAAATTTATAAACTGTTTTTAAATAAAATCTTACCTGAGGAGCAAAAATCGAAGTTGGAACTATTGTCCTCAGCTCATGCCGTTTTGGGAAGATAAAGCTCCAATTTGGTTTTGCTCAGCCAGAGGAATAAAGAAGTAAACTCTAATATTACCACAACTATCCAATGGGAACAGGTCATGATTTTCATCACCTTACGACAACATACAGAGGGGGATACCATCAAGGTTGCAATTCATATATTTGCAGTTTGATACGTATTTAACCTAATAATAATGAGCGATTTGGACTGTTTGAATACTAGTCTTTGATCGGGGGGCGAGGATAATGAAATCTTCTTCCAAATCTAGGGCTCCAAATTTTTAAGCATCAAGTGAAATCTATTAGGAGAACATGAATTCTCTCATACAATTCGATGGGCGTGGTTTTAATGAAAGTAAGAAGAATGAATAACACGAAAAATGGATGATAGTGGAGGATTTGCGAGAAGAATTAGGGGCATCGAAATACAAAAGATGAAAGTAGGCGGATAACAGGAGATTAGGGAAGAGAGAATTTCAATGAAGAGTAGTAGAAGTATTATAAGAGTAGGAGTAGGAAAAGCAGAAATTGGCGCAGAAAAAGATAATGAGACAGAAGCTAAGGAAGTACAAGCGAAAAGGAAAATCAGTAGATCATTAGCGGAGAAAAAGATCTTACGAATTAGGAAAACTGCAGGAAAACCTCATTCGGACTGGCCGGCGGAATGCTTGAAATCGAGCTACAGAAATTCTCATCTCTGTCACAGATAAAAAATTATTACCTCAGCCCAGGTTCGAACACCAGACCTCCGGCTAGGTACTCCAATGCTTTACCACTAAGCTACATAGTTGGCCGCAATGAGAAGAGAAGCGGAGAAAAGAGGAAGAATAGCAGGAGAAAGGTGAAAACAGAAAGGATAGAAATGCAGTAAACATGAAGGAAAAGAGAAGTGTAAGTAAAAAGATCAGAAAGAGACTAAATGATTATGAGATATGTGTGTGCATGAGGATTATAAAAAGGATACAATAGCTGTAAGGAAGAGGAATAAAATTGAAAAAGAGATAACAGTAGAAAATCGATAAAGAAAGTGCGAAAAGAAAGAAAAAGGTAAAAAAAGAAGACTGAGAAAGAAAAATACGAGAAGAGAAAGATCAGAAAGTGACAGGAAAGTAGAGGAAATGAAAATTCTCATCTCCTCTTCAATATCTGTCCCTTCTTTTTGCTGCTATAGCTATGCTAGCATTTACGAATTAACACAATAGTTATTTACATAAAAGTAAGGAAAATTACACATTACTGGCGAGGAAAGATTGAACGGGGCCGAGTACTTTAATTTTCGAGTCAAGTAATGTCATTTTACTGACGAGTTTTGTATTAATTTTATCCGAAATCGTATTTTTATAAAAAATTTCAATTTTCATATAGAACTTTTGATTAATGTCAATCTGTCAGTGATGACAGGAATCATTATAAACATTTAACAGTGTCAAAAATGCGGCCAGTAAAGTGACAAGCGGCAGGAAACGTAGTCTGCTCTGCCTCTGTGATGGAAACTAAAATTTACTGACAGAAAGTAGGCAAGAAAATGAAGGTTTCAGAATGATTTTGGGTAAAACAATTTTGCGAATCGATCCTGTGGTCAAGGTCTGGTTCTCTTTCAATGTAAAAGAGAATTTTTTGGAATTGATTAAAATTAAAAAGAATTTTTACCTCATTTTTTTCGCTATCAATGTGTTCGTTAATGCATTTGTGATAGCTTGAATCTGATTTATTAAGCTTTTCGTTTATTTTAAAAGATTAAGTTGAAAGGTTGTGTTTTTATTCAGTAAAAAATTGTAGCACCTTCGTAGAAACGTAAATTCTAGAAAATTTTGGTTTATGTGCCAATTTAAGCGTCGGCGGATAGGCCGTTTTATTGGTTTGCTTGGTTACTATGGATTTGTAATTGGTTGATGAATCGTTAGACAAATTAAGTAGGGAAAACTGTTTAAATACCATATGACGCGTAAAGTAGAGGCCTTTTGTCAATATTGTGAGTAATTGTTAGTATCGAGGCCGAGTTGCGGTCTGTTGAAGATGTCATACTTGTTTCCCGGTCCGGTCACAGCTTAAAATCTGAGTACCATTTCGCTTGTTTTTTTTTGCAAATTTCTAAATGATGCGTTTTGGAAAGGAAAGGTTCGTGTCCTTGATGCTGAAGGTATTAGGTCAAGATATAGTTCAAAGTGAAATCCCTCGCTATCAGAACATCTCCCCCTCTAAGAATAACATGGTGTAACAAAAATCAATTTCTTTTTTCAAAAAGTCTGATGAACCGAAGTCGTCAAGGGCCATCTGTGTACTACCCCCCCCCCACTCATAAGGTAGATACGGTCATGGTAAAGTACCGCCCCCGTTTAATGAACCCACAACATCATATTTACAGGTAAAAATGCGACAGATAAAAATTGTTTATTTAAATTACATTTCTTCAAATTGCTACAACTGGCCTTTATAGAGGGCTTCCATTACAATGATTTTTTAGACAAGTTGAACACGTGGGAATGTCTCTACCTTTCTCTCTCATAAAAGAGCAAACTGGAATGGTCTGGTAATCGAAAGTGCTCCCCTCTATGGCACAATCTCTTACATATTTCGTCACTCCATTCACTACGGAAGAAGAAGAACAGTAGGAGCCGCAAGTATTCATTTCTTACTTACGATTTTCCGAATATGCGAGGCACGTGATCCCAGCATCCGCAGGTGGTTCTTCACATGTAACATGATCGAGTCCCGACCCACTTTGGCAGTTAGGGTGGCCGTTTGAGCTGTCGCATTTGTAACATTTCAGTTCTGAAATTTGAGAGCGTTCTGAGTCATCTGAAAAAGGTTGGTGTAAGAAAGTACTCACCTGCCACAACAGCATAAACCAAAAAGAGAGTAGCCAATAGTGTTTTGAGATACATGGTGAAAATACAACTTGGTATCTTATCATTTGACACACATATTTATAGTCCCCCAAGAAGTAGGCGCTAGATTAGTTTAATTTGAATTGATAATTCAAAGTGCGTGGTTCAAGTGTGGAGAAACAGTATCGTTAGTTACCAAGGGAACTCCCTCTTTGGAGGTTTACTGCCGAATTTAGAAAATAAATTGTTTGAGTGTCACGATTTTTGTTCATGGCCTTCAAGACCAGAAGCGATAGGTATTGGGACTATTAAAAAAAACTACTTTAAACATTGTGGAACCTCACAAGAATCCAAAGAATCATTAAGAATTTTGAGATCTGAGGAGTTTACCACCAAATACCACAGCACCGGAGGAAACTTACCCTTAGTAACATACATAGTATGGAGGCTAGCAGGAAAGGTTCTACTCATCCCTGGGGATGGAAGGTCTTCACTGCCCGCATAACTTTGGTTAGGTTCACAATCTCCTCTGTTCATCCTGAGAAATGGTTCCAGAGTAATTGGTTCGCGACGTGATTTTGAGCGAGAGCTTTTGTTCCAGGAACGTGTGATTGAAGCAAAAGGTCTCCAATGCGTTCTCTGTGTACCCCTCCTCAATTTTCTTCAAGAAACCGATTCTATCATCTGTTCACTTTTGTAAAGCTGTTTGGAGTCTGGCACCTTCTGGAATTTGTGCTGGTTGTAACTTCAGCATTTTGGATGTCGAGCATTTTCGAGTTCTTCTCCAGTTCTAGTTGAGCCCCTGGAGATCCAGGGTTTGCGAGGTTCGTCACCTCGACTAATCGAAGTTTCGCCCCACCTCATGGAGCTTCTCACTAACTCACCCGGTCCGCCGATATCTGGTCTGCGCATGTGATCAACAGCCCCCCTCCCTCAATTTGCGTCGACTCTGTGAAGGATCCAGGAGTGCACCCGCACGGAACCCCCTGCACCCGTGTACGGCGGCGTAGTACATCGGAGTTGGGCCCAGTGCTCTGAGGATGGGTCCTCTATTCGACCACGCATCTCCTCGACACGGCCCCCTGACCCTCAGGATTTAGGGTATTCGCGGAGGTTGTCGGAGCTCTCCAGGTTCGTGCTTGGTATATCGACCTGGTTGACGCACATCGGAAACATGTCGGCCCCGTTTAACCCCTAAGCCCTAAGAAAGATAAGGATTTTAAGGGTTACTCAAGTTTCTTGGAAAAAGTTAAGGTTCTTAGGGGTTACAGGACTTTAGGGTCCCTTAAGAAATCTAGAATGCTAAGAAACAAAAGACTCCCTTCCGTAATTCTTTATTATTTTCTCGGTTCGTTAAAACTCTTGAAACCCTTCGAAGGCTTTGAAAGAATCAAGGCATCTAGACCTTTTGCAAGCGTCTGGTTACCTTAGGAGATCCTGAAATGCTGTTAAACATCCCAGGTGTCTCTGGAGCAAGATGGGAGAATCTTGACCACGCCCATGTCCTTAAAATCCTGCTCTTGAAGACCCTTCAAAGCTTTTTAAAACTTCAGCGGCTTCGGCTAAGGAAGAAGATTTTAAATGACCCTTGGACACTATGACAGATTCTTCAGACGTGCTCATTTTTCTACCAGTCAGCTATGGCTATAAAAGTCTCTGCCTGGAACCCTTGGGAACTGCTTGGCTTTCATATGACTCAGAGAAGCTCTTCGAGACAAGTCACCAGAACCCAATTGAAGCTCTCAAAACTAAAAAGTGTTTTAAAGATTCTCGAACTCCTTAGAAAAAACACCTTTAGCGAATTTTGAAAGCCCTTAGAAATTGTTGGCGACCCTTAAAGGCTCTCGAACTCTTTTAAAGGCACTCGCCCACTCTTAAACCCGTAAAAGGTCTTAAAGAGCATTCAAAATTATTTCAAAGATATTAAAGAGTCCTAGAAATCTCAAACCCTCAAGTAATGACTTGAGATACATACCCTTAAAGGTCAGTAAAGTTTATCAATACTTCATAAAGTCCTTTTAAGACGTTAGAAGATCCTTAAGCTTACCATTGCCGTGTCCCCTCTTCCCCACCCCCAGGTCTTCACGGACAAAAGCCATTCTGAAGTGTGTAGCTGCTTCGCTAAAGGTTCTGGTATCGTTTTCGGTCCCCCAGTGTTTGAGATGCTTCACTTTGAGGTGCTGCCATCAGAGCGGTGTTCCTTTTGCCTACCAGCTTTCAGCGCAATCTTGGTAGGTGTGTTGTCTGGTTACTTAGAGCTCCCAGGTTGCCCCACTTCAGCAGATAGAAGGTCAAGTTGCCTAGCGCCTCCTGGTTCCTGCGTCACCTTTTTCAGCCTCGGAGAGTTTTTATGCTCTCCAGTACCAGGTTCTCCGGGAGTAGCTCGGCCCCGTTTAACCCCGTGCAAGCTCGTGTCCACGACACGAGAGCGGGGCGGGGTAGCTCTCTTTGGTTGCCACCAGTCCCTGTTCCATAAGCGTCACTTGCGCTCATTCGCTTAGGCCTTTCCCCTATCCGCCACCTGGGGACGCACCTGGTAGAGTGCCACGCACAGGCACTGTTAAAAACTTCAGGCTCTTAGAAGTCCCTCTAAGTCCCAAGAAAGATACGGTCTTTTAAGGGTTACTCAAGTTTCTTGAAAAATGTTAAGGTTCTTATGGGTTACGGCACTTTAGTGTCTCTTAAGGAATCTAGAATGCTAAGAACCAAAAAACTCCCTTCCGTAATTCATTATTATTTTCGCGGTTCGTTAACACTCTTGGAACCCTTCAAAGGGTTTGAAAGAACCAAGGCACCTAGACCTTTTGCAAGCGTCTGATTACCTTACGAGATCCTGAAATGCTGTTAAACATCCAGGGTGTCTCTGGAGCACGATAGGAGAATCTTGACCGCGCCCTTGCCCTTAAAATCCCTTCAAAGCTTCAGCGGCTTCGGCTAAGGAAATAGGTTTTAAATGACCCTTGGACACTATTACAGATTCTTATAAGACGTGCTCATTTTTCTGCCAGTCAGCTATTGTTATAAAAGTGTCAAAGTCTTGAATTGCTACGGCTCAAACGTTTTTAATCACTAATTGTCTGGTAAGGGTTCTAACTTCCTCTTGGAGACTTCTGGAAGATTAATACATATCTTTACGGTGTAAAAACTGCTAAAGCTCTCGCAGATTCTTTAAGACTCTTTGCAGTTCTCTTAGGCTCTCTATCTGGGACCCTTGGGAACTGCTTGGTTTTCATAAGGCTCAGAGAACCACCTTTAAGCTCTTTGAGACAAGTCACCAAAATCCAATTGGAGACTCTCAAAACTAAAAAGGGTTTTCTAGATTCTCAAACGCTTTAGAAAGAACTTACAATACACTTCGTGGATTTTTAAGGCCCATAGAAATTGTTGGCGACCCTTAAAGGCTCTCGAACTCTTTTAAAAACCCGTAAAAGGTCTTGAAGAGTGTTTACAATTATTATTTCAAAGATATTAGAGTCCCAAAATTTTCATTTAGTAGATTTAGTTGATTTTACAGAATAAATGTTTGGATGAACAAGGTGCAGATGTGGAAGGTGGAACCATCCAAAGTTAATGAACAAAGATCATGATACTCGAACAATTTATTTTCAAAATACGGTAGTTAACCTCTAAAACGGGGTTCCCTTGGTAACGATAGTGTATCGCCACGCGTGAACCATGCACTTTGAATTATCAATTATAATTAACCTAACCGAACTCTTGGGGAACTATAAGTATATATGGGTGTCAAATGATAAGATATCGAGTTGTATTTTCACCATGTACATCAAAACACTGTTTGTTACTCTCTTCTTCGCTTATGCTGTTGCGGAAAGTGAGTACTTTCTTACTTTTTAAAATGACCTACAACGCTTTAAAACTTCAGAATTGAAATGTTACAAATGCGACAGCTCAAACGGCCACCCGAACTGCCAAAGTGGGTCGGGAATTGGTCATGTTACATGTGAAGAACCACCTGCGGATGCTGGGATCACGTGCCTCGCATATTCGGAAAATGGTAAGTAAGAAATGAATACTTGCGGCTCCTACTGTTCTTCTTCTTCCGTAGTGAATGGAGTGACGAAATATGTAAGGGATTGTGCCATTGTGGGGGGCACTTTCGATTACCAGGCCATTCCACTTTGCCCTTCTATGAGAGAAAGAGGTAGAGACATTCGCACGTGTACAACTTGTGCGACAAATGATTGTAACGGAACCCCTCTTTAAAAAAGATCAGTTGTCAAATTAGATTTATTGAGCATTGTGAAAGAATGAAGAAATTGTAACATTTAATGAGTTTAAATAAAAAATGTTTGCTGACATGCTTGAAATGGCGAATAGAGGTTTAACGATTTCCTCCCCTTCCAACCCTTCCGGCGCAGGAGTCACGACATAAACAGCTCTCCTTATTCACCACCACTTAGTTTCACCCACCAACCTCAAGGAGGAACGACATGGCGAATGATCAAATAAACTTTTATAAAGGAATTACTGAAAGTACCTGTAAATATATAGACCCGTTTAACGGTCTATCATCTACCATGTGCGTCTCTACCTGGTTAAGGCTGGAAAGATGGGCAAGAACGGAGCAGGCACTTGGTGGTCTGCTGAGCTTATCTTCCATGTCACTCGGAAGAGGCTCCACCTATCAGGGAGCTGGCTGAATGGATGGAGTACTGTTGAATGGTGGGCTTCCTCTCGTGGCGTGGAGCAGCACGAACACGAGTGGAAATCACCTTCATCTGGGACTGCTATGTGGCGAAACTGGTAGAGCGGTTGGAAGGACCACGTTTGCTCTCTCCGAAAGCAGAGGAAGCGTTAGTAAGCGACCAGCGACAGCGTCATATGTGTAAAGCTGAGGAACGAAGAAAACACCTTGGTGGAGCTCAGACCTTTAAGAGGCTCGTAAGGGGTTCGCTGGTTTTTTAATGCGAACTGAAGTTTCTGTGGACTGGTAAGATCTCAAGATCGCTCCGCGCAGGTATAAGAAGCATATTCGAAGGTCTAAGCGAGGTTCATGGAGGCCCTTCAAAGACTTCGTAAGCTCCTTTTGAAAGACCCAAGGTAAAAAGCTGGAGCTTTCATGCGGCAGATATACGTCTATCGCGGTTGAATCTCTGAGGACTTCGGACCTAACAAAAGGAGCTACTCGGCTGATCGGCTGAAAAGTAGCTGCCCGGCTGGTTACCGAGGGATCTCTGACATGGGCGCCCATTTAATAGTGCAGGAATGAGGGCGAGATATTCTTCTGCATAAGGGCCTGGAGCTCTTACATTTGTTGCACCTCTTTAGAGCATCCCTGGGTTTAGGGTATATCCCCGAAAGCTGGAGAAAGGTAGGGGTTGTGTACCTACCTAGTCTGGGTCGTGCCAAATATGAGGTTTCTTCTAAAAACCGTGGAGACCACTACATCTATTACAACATGCTTACAGGCAGGAGAGGGGAATGTCTGCAGGTTGGGAGAGGGGGGAGTAGTCTTGGGAGCGTTTCTAGATATCGAGGATGCGTTTAATAACACCACGTTCGATTCAATTAGTGAGATAGATCCAGGACGACGGATATGAGCTCATCTCAGTTACTAGAGGATGTCCTTCGGGTGATGTGTCTGAAGTTCGACGGGCTCCTCCGCACTATGAATGGGGACGAGACGAGATCGTCATAACTGGAAAGATTCCAAACACCGTGAAAGAGCTCATAGAACAATAGACAATAGAAGGAGAGCGGACCTGGAGGGATTTTACACTTCGAGGACGTCAACTGGGTCTGATCAGGTGAGGGCCTGGAAAGGGCACATTGAGTGTTAAGTTAAAATGTTAGAGGTCGTCGTCTGTCAGTTCTTTTACTTGAAGTAGCACAGAGACAAGATAAATTAAAGACATCGTAACTGTTAATTAGGTTTAATCCGTAATTAAAATTTTTGAAAATAAACTCTTTTTCATTTGCAATCCACACAAACTTTTACAATAAAACCGTCATGGAAGAAACAATCTCCCTCTGCAATTAGAAAGAATGCGGGCGTACCACAATAGTCAAATGGCATTTTACCGATTTACGTACGAGCCACCGCATAAATGGCAGTACTCGGCACCGATTGGCCACGCAATCGCGGCCTAGTATTATGGTCCAAATGTCCTGTGGTCTGTCAGCGGCAGTAAACATTCCAAAACCCACCTAAACCAGTAGAACTTTCTTTGACAATGTAATTAGCAAACTCAATTCCAATTACAAATAATTGACGGCCGAACGTATAGTTTCACAAAGGCTAAATTTTAATTAATCATTTCGACAACGTTAAATGTAATTAAGTCGGTCTTCGGACCATGCACCCAACGGCAGCATTTGCGCCCCCATTAATTGGACCAATAAGTTTCGTGACTTATAAACAAAAGCGATATTAAATTACGTATTCAATTCAATAATTACATATATATATATATATATAATTATATATATATATATATATATATATTTATATATATATATAAGATTACATTTCACATTCCAAGTCTTTTTTTTTCTAACAAAGGTTGCACCTTTGTCAACGGGTATGCTTGACTACCAACCGAACGCTTTCTTTATCAGTAAAATATTTATTTCGTTCATTTAGACTTTCTCAAAATATAATAGATCGAGCCCAAGCATTTGTGTTTATATAAATTACGAAAACTGCGTGAAATATGTATCGTCCGATTATGAGATTCATCCTAAAGGCTCGTCAATTTGTTTTGCACCCTGTAGTCGACTTTAACAGACTATTCGACTTTAACTGCCGTCTTTTTGCGCATTATTTTTAGGAATTAATTTTATCTTTCATGTCTTATTAAAGGTCTCAACGAAAGGAACCGTTTTCTATACCAACTACTGCTGAGGGGGTTAGAGGGGGTGGGGGCAGTAGAACTGTTTTTATCCTTCATGGTACTCTAATGAAAGGTCTCAACGGAAGGAATTAATTTCTACCAACCATAGTCCTCCTTCTCGACCCCTTATCGCGATCGGATATATTCCCTTATACCTCCAGAACGGGTTGTCCGAAGAGGGTACCCACGAAGGGCGATTGGGACTTCTGGAAGAAATATATCCATTGGTGATTTCAAAACTTTAAGAGCGAATATCTCGAAAACGGTTTGTCGGAGGAAAGTACTCTCACAGGCAACATGAATAGACAGCACGAGACATCTATTGGTGAAGTCAAAACTTTCAGTGCAAATATCCGCAGAATGGAGTGTCGGAGGATTTTGAATGTATTCCAGGCGGTCTTTAAATGTTTATGTGTAAAGAGCCTCGTCCCCTTATAACCCAATCATTTCCTAAGCCCTCTCAGAGCGGTGCCACGGCACCTTCAGCACCTACCTAGTCATTTTGATGAATTGGCAACATCGATCACATGAGAACGACATGTGGACGACGCACTAACTGGATTCCTGCATTTGCCTGCTGCATGTCCTACTCTCAAGCACTTGCTCACGATCTTGTTCTCCTTCTTCAACGACCACTGTTGAGCTTTAAAACAATTTGAGCCCTTATGCGATTTCTCACAAAAAATGCAACTGCTCACATCACAATTCACTAGCTCTACTGCCGATGGGATTTTCTCTGCAGTTCTTTTACCTTCTTCTTCTTGTGAGGCACGAACTAATATCCGGAACTTTGTTAAAGATGCAGGTGTTTTTGAAGGGTAGATATTTAGACCATACCGGGGACAACAATATACCAAAAGGTCGCAGTGCAGGAACCGACAGCGACCACCCTTAGTACAATAATAATAAAAATAAAAGGTTTGATCCTACGTGCCATTAAGCTAGGTACAGTTAAAGACAAAGGATAAAAAATATTTCATTCCTCAGCAGGCAAAACCAAATTATTAGGCTACCTACATGACTAGAGCTCTCAGTAACTGACCACAGTACAATTAATAAACAAAGCATTGCATCTTAGCCTAAGGTCTTAGATTCGAATCAGCTGCCCAATTCTTCAATGCGACAGTCCACTAATTTCCATACGTCACCATCTCTTCTATAGGAGTGGCTCTCGAAGGCGATCGCGTCAATGTGACGTAGACCTGCCCCTTCGCCCGCCAGATCCGCTCCCTCCAAAGGACCACCTCTCAAACTGACAATGGCAGTCTTCGGAAGTTCCGCCAAACAGTCGACGGATTCGAGCGGATTCTCGTCCAGGTCCAATTTGTACACCGAGCCTAGGCCCTTGAAGGCCTCACCATCTATCGTTTTGAAACTATTCGACGCCAAACCCAAGCGCTTCACGCATTTAATCCCCTCGAACGCACCCGGCTCAATTTCCTCAATTTGATTCGCATTCAAGAGGATCTCGTCCAGCGCTCTGCTGTCGGTTTCGCTAGCGAAACTGCCCGAAGGTATTTTGCTGATTTTGTTATTGGAGAAGTTTACCTTGGTAAAATCCACCAGTGGGGCGTAGAGCGCTTTAGGAGGAAGTTCGATGAACTCGTTGCTTGCCAAGTCCAGCACCCCCAATTCTGGATTCGTGTTGAAGATCTCCACGGGTAAATTCGCGAGTTTATTCGAACGTAAGATTAGGGAGATGAGACTTGGTAGGGCGGAAAGGCTGCGTTCGTGCAACTCCTCGATTTGGTTGTCCTGCAGGTATAGGCCTACAAGGTTTGGTAGTCCGGAGAGGGTGTCCTTTTCGATACGTGTCAGTGCGTTGCCGTTCAGGTAGAGCAGAATTAGATCTTTCAAGCCGTCGAAAGTGCCAGCCGCAAGGTCTCGGAGATTGTTCCCATCCAGGTCCAGCCTTTGAACCTTTGGACACCTGATGAAAGCGGCCTGCAGCCTCTCTATTCTATTGTCGGATAAACACAGTCGATGGCGGACTACCAACCCTTGCATGCTGTCAGAGTTCACTTCAGTCAATGCGTTTTCATTCAGGTACAGCTTTTCACAGTCACAACCCTCAAACGCTCCAGGTTCGATGGACTCGATTTGGTTGGATGATAACACCACTTTTCGCGCAGATACGCGTAGAGTCTGACGCCTGAGGATCGCGAGGTCATTGTGGCTCAAATCCAACACGCCGCTTCCCATTTGTAGCCCTTTGAGCGCCGACTCGTTAATATCTACAAGCTGATTAAACGAGAAGTTCACCACGTCCATCGTGAATCCATAGAGCAAATTGGCCGGTAGCACGCTGATCTTATTGCGCGACACGTCCAAGTGCCTCAATCTCCTCAATGGACTAAAAATATCGGCAGGAAGCTGTTGCATCTTGTTGTCTTTCAAGATGAGATGGCCCAAATTCTCCAAGTCCTTGAAATGGAACCCGCTGAGTTCGGCGATCTTGTTGTGCGAAAGCTCCAAGTTGAACAACGAGCGCAGGTGGTGGAAGACCTCCCTTTCCACAGTGCCGATGCCATTATTCTTAAGTATGAGGACGCCAAGCTGATCGAGCCCGTCAAATGCGCCATTTTGAAGTGAGCGTATGTCATTGTTGGATATGTTCAGACTGAAGAGCGAGCGAAGGTCGCTGAAGGATCCCTCCTCTATCTCCTCGATGGAGTTGTTTGCGATCTCGAGGTACCTGAGATTCTCCAGGGAGTAAAACGCGCCGCAGACCAGCTTCTCCAACTGGTTGTTGTTGATTCGTAAGTTCTCCAAGTTGGTAAATTGATTTTCGAAGAGGGTGACGTTTCCTGGAGGTGGAAACGAAAATTTACTGGACGCGATGGACATCGTTGTAACTTGCTCCTTGTTCGACGATGAGGACACCTTCTCCATGAGTTCCTTGAAGGATTGGAGTTCTTCCAGTGTTAGCGGTTCGTCTTCCATTTTCCACCTACAAAAAAAGAGAAGGTCACCAGTTGCACAGTGAAAAAGGGCCGTATTGCGTGGTACATGCTACTCACAGGAATTTTACCTTCCTCGGCTTTGCAGAAGCTTTATTTGTGTCTGCCATATTTTGACAGCACCGACGGGTACGTGACGTACCCTTCATGACAGGACGTTGCTAGCCAACTGCTCATTTGCTAGTTGTAGCTTAGTGGCCATGAAGGAAGGCCATGGCCAAAAGAGGAAGAGATTTTCTCAACTACTCAGTCTAGCCATTTTCACTAATGGGACTAAAGAAATTAAATAAACTAAGCAGATTTAAAAAGGCGAAGGGGCATATGGCAAATGTCCAAATTGACAAAAATCTTCAAAGAAACCAAACTAACTAAAGTGTAGAAGAGGCCGAATGGGAAGAATAAGAGGCGAAGGAGGCTAATAATAAACCAAGACCGGATTAAAAAGGACCAAAAGATGATTAAAAATTAAATAATGAGAAACTAAGAAAGAAACACAATGAGAGCGCAACTAAAAGGAGACCAAAAGAAGCTAAAGATTTGCTAAAGTGACCAGGGGAATTAATGGGACAAGGAATATGTCAAAAAGGCCAAAGGGAATAGGTAAGAAGGCCCAGGAGACAGACGAAAATGAGACAAACAAAGCAAACAAAAAAGAACTTACTGGAATGACTTAGCGCAAAATAAGTCTAAGCGTGAAAAAAGCGATAACAACACAAAAGTAAAAAGTAATAGACTCAGGAAGAAAAAAAACCACATGACACAACAGAAACAAAGTCAAAAAACACAAAATAGATTTAAAAAATTTAAACTTGAATCAAACAAAAGAGTAAGCTAAAAAGTCTACATGGCGAATAAAGAAAGAGTCTAAGGAGACTGAAGGGGAAATTGAGACCAATAAGAAAATAGGAGTTCACGAGAAATCAAAGACGAGAAGGACACTGAGACCACCAAAAGACTACAAGGTAAAGGAGAATAAAGAAGAAAAACCTAAAAGTAGATCAAAAATCAAAAAATGCCCAAAAATATAAAGAACAAAGAAAAGACAAAAGGAAAAAGGTTACGTCCTAAAATTAAAACAAAGGAATATTCAAAAACAACAAGAAAAAACATAAATCTGGTTATAGAGACAGTGAAGCTATAATTTCGGAGACTTAATACCGACCAAAAAGATTAAAGGGGCAAAAAAAGCAGTAGGAAATAGACGATCTAAACCCATTATGGTTTAAAAAATAGTTTTCAGAAAAGAGGGGGTTTGATCTTCCGTACGGGGAGGTTTTCCATACCCCCCCCCCCCCGACCTCCGACCACGTTCTCCTACTACACAATTTAGAACCCTCCCCACTGTAGCATAATTTGCCGGTCCGTGCGGCGCAGTTCAGTTGAAGCTGGACTGTGGTACTAAAGGTTCCTGGTTCGAATCCGGGTTCGGGTATGGATATTTGCAAATGTATAGTGAGTTGGGTTGGTAGAGCAGCCATGTCTAAAACCTCGCCCACTCAAAAATAAAGGCAAAAATAAATAAATAGAATAAATAAATAATCTTAAACAGAGGAAAATTATGAACGTAGTACCGGGGGTTCTGAGGGGTATGGATTACCCTCTCGAAGAAAATAGGAAATCCAAACCCATTATGGTTTTAAAGTAATTTTCGAAACCTTAATCTTCTTTACTGGGGTGCATTTTCTACCCCCGGTACTGCGTAATACCATTGTATACTAATAAATATACAATGGTAATACCCTCTAGAAGAAACTAAAAAATCCAAACTCATTATGGTTTTAATGTATTTTTTGGGAAAGGGAAGCTTTAATCTTCTTTACTGGGGGGTTTTCCATATCCCCAAGACCCAACGGTACTACGTTCTCCCACTACACGATTTAGAACACCCCCACTCCCCGCAGCATAATCTTAAAGATACGAAAATTACTATCGCAGTACCGGGGGTTCTGGGGGTATGGGATACCCCTCTTATAGAAAATTGAAGACCCGTTGTAGCCTTAAAGTAATTTTCAGCAAAGAGAAGCCTGAATCTTCTTCACTGGGGGTATTAGACCCCTAGGTAGTAGGTTCTCCGCCTAGACGACTTAGAACCCTCGTCAATGCGAAATAATCGCAAGCAGAAGAAAATTACGAACGTGGTACCGGGGCATCTGAGGGGTATGGAACACCCCCCAGTAAAGAACATCAAAACTTCCATACTCAGAAAATAGAAGATCGAAACCAATTATGGTGTTGAAGTAATTTTCGTGAAAGAGACTCTTCTTTACTGAAGGGGGGGGGGGTCCTCCGGTACTACGTTGTCGCCCTACACGATTTAGAAACCTCCCCACTGCAGAACAATCTTAAAGAGAGGAAAATTACTAACGTAGTACCCCCAGCAAAGTAGTTCAAAACTGAAGAAAATCAAAACTTCCCTTTCCGAAAATTACTTTGAAACCACAATGGGTTTGGATCTTCTATTTTCTACTGGGAGGTATTGGAATACCCCCAGACCTCCCGGTACTACGTTCCTAATTTTATTCTCTGTAAGGCTATTCTGTAGGCGGAGAACCTAATACCGTGAGAGGCCAGTACCCCCCAAGTGAAGAGGTTATTGCTTCCATTTCCCGAAAATTACTTTAGAACCATAATGTGTTCGGATCTTCTATTTTCTACTGGGGGTATTGGAATACCCCCCACTCCCGCCGGTACTACGTTCGTAAATTTCTTCTCTTTAAGACTATTCTGAAGTGGGGAGGGTTCTAAACCATACTGAGGGGTGTGAAAGAAGTAAAAAAGATTAAGGTTTTTTATTTCCCGAAAATTACTTTAAAGCCACAATGAGTTTGAATCTTCAATTTTCTACTAGAGGGTATAGTATACCCTCAGATTCACCGGTACGGCATCTTCTGTTGGGAGTGTTCTCAATCGTGTAGAGGGAGAACGTGGTACCTGGGGTTCTGGGGGCAATAAAGTAGGTCAAAACATTCCTTTCTCGAAAATTACTTTAAAACCATAATGGGTTTGGATTTTCTATTTTCTAGTCGAAGGTGCTCCATACCCCTAGAACCCCCGGTACTACGTTCCCCCCTTCGCCATTTAGAATCCTCTCCACTGCAGAATAGCCTTAAAGAGAATAAGATAAGAAGATCCAAGCAAGTAATGGTTTTTAAGTAATTTTCGAGAAAGGGAAGCTAATCTTATTTACTGGGAGGTATTCCGTATCCCCAGATCCCCAGGTACTACGTTCGTAATTTTATTCTCTTTAAGGCTGTTCTGCAGTGGAGAGGATTCTAAATGGCGAAGGTGGGAAAGTACTACAGGGGGTTCCATACCTCCCAGACCCACCGGTACTACGTTGTCGCCTTACATGATTTAGAAACTTTCCCACTGCAGAACAATCTTAAAAAGAGGAAAATTACTAACGTAGTACCGGGGAGTATGGAACCCCCGTAGATCAAAACTGAAGTAAATCAAAACTTTGAAACCATAATGGTTCTTCCCTATCTAGATAATAACAGCGAAGATGAAAACCATCATGGTTTTAAAGTAGTTTTTTGGAAAGGGAAGCTGTAATCTTCTTTACCGGAGAGGGGGGGGGGGGTTCTATGGCCCTAGACCCTCCGGTGCTACGTTCTCGCCCTACACGATTTAGAACCCTCCTATCTACAGAATAAAATAAGAGCAAAATTACGAAAATAGTACCGGGGGGGATGAAATAAAAGATCCAAACCCATTATGAACTTCAACTACTTTTCGGGAAAGGGAAGTTTTGTTCTTCTTTATCCCCCAAACCCCCCGGTACTACGATCAGTCCTACACGATGTAAAATCCTTTGCACTGCAGAATAATCTTAAAGAGAAGAAAATTACGCCCCCCCCCCCCAGCAGAAAATAGATCATAGCTCCCCGAAAAAGAGATCGGTATATGTGTTACTCTTTTAAGCATATAAGCACGAGACTAAAATGGGGAATGAAACAGCTCCTTACGCGCTTCTATCAATGACTAATTTGAAAGCATAATTAGGGCAAACGTGTGAAAAGCAATACGACATGCCAGTGTTTTAATTACCTTTTAATTTTTACGTAGTTGATTACAATTTACGGATGAACTCACTACAGTTAATTGTAATTGTTCGAGTGCGCTAACCTCAAACATTTAATTCTGGAGGGCGACGTCGCCGGCGGCGACGCATATTGGGCGATCAATGTTACGTCATGGTGGCAGTGACATCTTGTGGCATCTCCGGAAATGATTGGCGAGGGTTATGCTCGTGAAATGTTCGAAAGGTCGCTTTCGCGTTATTGATTTTCTTTTCCAACTTAAGGCAATGTTTATACAGTGTGGTCATTAGGTATGAACGCACACACGTAATCAGCAATGTTCCACATTTTACAATACGACAACACCTACGATTCATTGAGGGCAAAAAGGAAAAGCAGTAAAATAATTAGGAGAGGAACGCATGTATGTAGAATTAAAATATATCGGCATACGAACTATCGGAGAAAGGAGACTAGAGGGAGGGATAATTGGAAAAAAAGAAGGCAAACGTAAAGTAGGAGATAAAGTGTGGGGGAAAAATGACGAACAGAAAGAAAAGGAAAGAGAACGGGAAGGTACATAATACGAGAAAAAAGTAAACGAAAAAAAGGAAAGGAGATTAAGGTGGAAAACAGTATAAGTCGGAAAGAGGGATTATATGCAGTAGCGAATTTACATATAGGCACACTAGGCACGTGCCTAGGGGCGGCAGCTTTAAGGGGCGGCATTTTTTGCACTATATTTATTTTAGGTAACATTTTAAGTTTTAAAATAAGTCCCCTAAGAAGTTACAAATGACAAAAATCTTTAATTAAAATTATGAAATAAATTGTAATTGGTAGATAGTTTAAACAAACTGCAACTGTAAGAACGATAATCGACAATGCAAGTTTTGACGTGTGTGAAAACCAGGATGAAAACTTAATCTTAGGTATACTGTATTTCTTTTCATATTAGTTTTAAAAATTTCATCGTATAATTTGATTTTTATTTTAAAATTTATTGCAATTTAAAGATTATTTTGGGGCGCATATCTTTCGGTGTGCCTAGGGGCGCAAAAGATTTAAATCCGCCACTGATTGTATGTGCATGTCCTTCATCATTTTTATCCCTCCGTATTTCTCTATTTTCTTCCCTTCATTCTCCTTTTACTTTGCTGTAATTTCTTCTTATGCTCTGTTCCTTATCGACTAGAAACCAATCTCGAAAAAAAATTCAAAAGGCTGTAACTTTTGAACAAGTAGCCCAATCTTGGAACTGTTTGAAATTATGGATTCTACAGGCCACATTCTATAAGAAAATTGTTTTCCGGGTCGATCTGAGACAATTTTTTTTTCGAGGCTCAAAAAAAGGCATTGCATAACCTTCCTTCTTTACCAAAAATCGACTACACCAAAATTTCTCGGGAAAACACTTTTTCTTATTAATTTTGGTGCGTAGAATCCAAAACAATTCGTTCTTTTTCGATCAGACTTCTCAATCAAAAGTTATAGACTAGAAACCAATTTCGAAAGAAAATTCAAAGGGCTGTAACTTTTGAACTAGTAGCCCAATCTTGGAACTGTTTGAAATTATGGATTCTACAGGCCACATTCTATAAGAAAATTTTTTTTCCGGGTCGATCTGAGAAAATTTTTTTTTCGGGGCTCAAAAAAAGGCAGTGTATAACCTTCCTTTTTTACCAAAAATCGACTACACCAAAATTTCCGGGAAAACACTTTTTCTTATTAATTTGGGTGCGTAGAATCCAAATCAATTCGTACTTTTTCGATCAGACTTCTCAATCAAAAGTTATAGACTAGAAACCAATTTCGAAAAAAATTCGAATGGCTGTAACTTTTGAACTAGTAGCCCAATTTTGGAACTGTTTGAAATTATGGATTCTACAGGCCACATTTTATAAGCAAATTTTTTTTCCGGGTCCATCTGAGAATTTTTTTTTCGAGGCTCAAAAAAAGGCAGTGTATATAACCTTCCTTTTTTAGAAAAAATCGACTACACCAAAACTTCTCGGGAAAACACTTTTTCTTATTAACTTGGGTGCGTAAAATCCAAATCAATTCGTACTTTTTCGATCAGACTTCTGAATCAAAAGTTATAGTCCTGTTCGTAATTCGTAATTCAAAACATTTTATTTAAACTTTCCTAAATGTTACAACTTTTCCAATGTGAACACAGTTCAATTATTCCTATCTATGAGATTTCTCTTGGCTCTTGGGACTATACGTAAGTATGAACCCACCTAAAGGAACTACTGCGCACAGTTCGATATAAGGCCGATCGACTGGAAGGTGGTTACCGAGGGATCTCTGGCACGGTTCGCTAATCTTGTTGCGTGACACCCTCAATGGGCCAAAAGTAAACTACTTCAGAGTGTTTTTCTGTAAGACGAGGTGGCCCAAGTCTTCCAAAACCTATAAAATGGTATCCGCCGAGTTTGGCGAACTGTACGAGTTGAAAAATGAGCGTAGGTGGAAATTAACCCCCTTCTCATTATTGATAATTCTATTATTCTTTAGTTTAGATGTAGTTAGTTGTGTGTTACAGGCTTCATTTACCATAATTCTTTATTTTGCCGCTAGAGGGCATACGAGTATACTTTTTCTGTACAGTGACTCTATAGAGACAGTGCAAAACAAAGCTTTGTTCGTGCCCTTGATGGTAAAATTCTTGGAAATTAGATCAAGATAAAGCCAACGAGAGAGGCTACCAGAAGAGTGACCATTTCTGTTAGGGAGACCCTTCAGCTGTTTTTTTTTAAAAAATCTAAAGAACCTGAAGAATGTTAAGAATTGGAGGGCAAGAGAAAGTCCGAAGAAAGTGAATTGTTGAATCAAAAGGACCCAAAGCATCGCAGGAAGCCAAGAACCTACTGCGGTTATCTGTGTATGCCCCAATCACCAGGTCAACGCCATATTTACTATTCCTAGCGACAGTGTTATAAATCACATCGACGTTAATTTGATCATTGTCCATGTCGTTCCCCTATCCCCCAACGGCCGACGCGCTTGGTGGGGAGTTCCCATCTGAGGTTGCGTGAATGGATACAGCGCACTCCTGACGAGGAATAAGGAGAGCTGTTTATAGAAAACGGCGTGATTCCTCTGATGGAAGAGTTGGTCCAATTAATTATGAACTGGTTGTAATCTTTGACGGAGTTTATTTAATTAATCCTATCAATTTGACAAGTGACCTTTTAAAGAGGCGCATCGTTACAATAATTTCCTCCACAAGTTTCACACTTGGGAAGGTCTCGACCTTCCTCTTTCATGGATGGGCAAAGTGGAATGGTCTGGTAATCGGCAGTGGCCCCCTCAATGGCGCATTCTCTTACATATTTAGTCACCCCGTTCACTATGAAAAAGTATGGCAGTAGGAATTGCAATTATTCACTTTTTACTTACCATTTTCCGAATACGCAACGCATAGTTGCCCTGCATCCTGAGGTGGTTCTTCACATTCAACCTTATCTATTCCCGATCCACTTTGGCAGTTAGTGTGGCCCTTTGAGCTGTCGCATTCATAACAATGCAGACCTGAAATTTTAGAGCGTTCTAGGTAATCTTAGAAAGGTTGGTGTACTCACGTGCCACGGCAGCATGCACTAAAAAGAGAGTAGCCAATAGTGTTTTGATATACATGATGAAAATACAACTTGGTATCTTATCATATGACACACATATTTATACCCCGCGAAAAGTAGAGGGGTAAGATTAGATTACAGTAATAGATCAAAGTCTATTTATTTTTCTGCGGTCAATAAACAATTTTATATTTATTTTCTTTATTTTGACATATCTGATAATCTTTAAGGATTTATGCTCCTACACCAATACACAAAAGCAAACAAATCCAGGTGTCTTGACCATAACGATTTAGTTATCGTCAATTTCTCTTTTCTCTTCTCCTTTATTTTTTTTGTTCTCTACCCGTACTTGATCTCCATCTTATTTCTTTTCTATTCACCTTCTCTTCATGTTTCATCAGCTTCTTTCTTTCTTCTAGAATACAACATTTTTTCTTCGGTTTTTATTCATTGTTCTCTTTTTCAATCTCGAACATGGCGCATCCTTTGTTCTTCTCCAAGCTCTCCTTCCTGAACTCTTTTTTATCTTGATTCGCTTCGGTTTTATCTCTGCATTTTCTCTCCTTTTTTTACCATTTCTCTATTAACTCTTATGGTCTACTTCCTCACATCCTTCTGACTCACCTATATTTTCATTCAACTTAAAATACTCTTTTTTTGCTCCTGTAAAGCTCAAGTTATGAAAGAAGGAGTCCTTCAATGAGCTGAGTCTACGGTAAAGACTGATTTTTGTATTCACAGTTGAAGGGAAAGAAACAAGAGGATTGATGATAATGATGGGCTAGAAAAGGATAAAACGGAAGAAAATGAGGTAAATGCAAGGGAAGCAAGCAAAAAAAAGAAAAGTAAAGTATGCATAAGGGATAAAAGAATAGAGAAAGGAAGGGTAAATGATCAAGCAGAGGCAACCATAAAAGTAAGGTGGAAAAACAACTTACAGAAGGATGAAAAGTAGAAAGTACCTACTCTCAGGAAGAGGGAAATTAAGAAAGGTGCAAGGAACAAGAAACAGAAGGAAACAAAACGTGCGGAAGATAAACAGAAATCAGAAAAAATGGCGGAGAAAAGAGGGTTAATAGAAAAAAAGAATATGAAAAAGGGAAAAGGAAAAAAGAGAATGGTGAGGATGAGAATAAATATTAAAACAGCAAAATAAAAGAAAATGATACGGATAAGAAAGAGGAAGAATCAAGAAGACTGAGCTAAAGAAATGGTAGAGGAAGAAAATAAAGTAGAAGCAAAGAAGAAAAGAAGAAAGAGGAAGACAAAAGAAAGATGCCAAATAGATATGTGACGTAGAAGGAACTGAGCAAGGAATGAGAAAAACTAGGAATAAAAAAATTAAGAGAAGAGAGTGCCGTAAGGTGGAAAAGTATAAGAAGGGTGCACAAAGAAGAAAAAAGAATCCAATACAAGAAAACAGGAGGACATTGGTAGTAGAAAACAAAATTAAGACAAATAGAACAAATGAAAGAAGGAAAGGAAAACGTAAGTGGGAAGCAGTGAAACGAAAAGGATATCAAGAACGTAGACAAAAAAAGAGTGGGAACAAAGGATAAAACAGAAAAGAATAAGGTAGAAGAAAAGAAAACAGGAAAAGAAACTTACAAGAGAAGTGAAAAGAAAAGAAGATAGGGCATATGATCAAACATAGATATCAGATGCAACCATAAAAGAAAAGTGAAAAAATGCGAGAGGGGACCAAACGTGGAGCACAGAAAAACTAAATCCGAAAAAAATTGCGAGGAGAATAGGGTTAGTAGAAAACTAAAAATAATTGGAAGAGGGAGGAACAGGATGAGGACGTTGTCAAATATGAAAAGTAAGAGTAAAATAAAAAAAGGAAAGGGGGTTAAATAGATATGAGACGTAGAATGATTTGACAAAAGAGACTTGAAAAGCAACAAAGAAGAAAAGAACGACGAATAGAAAAAATAGAATGAAGAAGTGAGAGAGGGAAATAGTAGCAGAGAAGAAGAAAAAAGAAGAAAAGAACAAAAAACAAATACTAATAGAACAAAGTGAAAGAAAAAATGCAAGAAAACAGAGCAGAATAGAACAGGAAATAACAAGAACCAAAAATCAAGAAACGTAACGTAGAAAATAACCAGAAAGAAAAGGAAGAAAACGTGGAAAACAAAAGGAAGGCGACAACATAAATTTTAGAAACAAAAAGTAAAGACAAATAGAGAAAGAGAAAGGAGTACATAATTAGGAAACAGCAATGCTTGAATATGATATTAAGTAACTGACTAGAGGTCAAAGGAACAGATGGGGTATGGGAAAGTAGTAGACGAGAAAAAGAAAAAAAAGAGAGTGGAGGAAAGGGAGAGCTCTCCATAATTTATTTGCTAGTGTTCTCAACATCTCCATGGTTCTGTCTGTAGCGTACATAAATGTCTCATATTTCAGCTCATCCTTATCCGTTGTCTTCCTTCTCCTGAACCTCTAACCGTCACTGCATCTCCAATTTTGATATCTCTACGTCTCTCCTTTCTTCTTTGCATGCATCTCTCCCTATGTTTAGGCACATAATCGCCATCTTCCTTTTATCCCCTTTTTCTATCCCTCTTGCCCTTGCTCTTCTTTCCTGTTACTCTTACCACAACTCTTTTTCGTTACCCTATGTATTCCTTGTCTTCCACATTTAATTTCCTATGCAATTTTGACAAAATCCCACTCGATAGTAGTCGACGTCATGCAGACATTTTGTTTGAGATCAGCACATATAATAATAATGGGTCACCCTCTATGTGGAATATCAATTTTTTGAAGAGTAAATTTGTTTGCTACTTCTGAATTATGCATGGAGTTAGTTCTTTTTATTAAAATTTGAAGTTGTTCAACGTTGTTTTGTATAAAAATCGTCGAAGGTTTTATTGAATCGATGGCCTTTTAATTTGTTTATTGTTAATTGTGATTTGTTTATTTAATTGTAACAGTGAAATCGCTACTGCGATAACGTTTCTTATCGCGTTGCCTACTGTGAAATTTAATTAGTTTCAAGATAAGCACGTGTTATCGCCGATAAGAAAGCAACAGGTGTGCAGCTTATTTCGAAGCTGATGATGATGATGGACACTCTATCAGACTATCTATAACTTGACGAAGAGCAGTCATACCACAATAATCAACAACTTAAGAAAAGACACCGTTTGGTCCTCTTCAATTTAAGGAATTGTAAACATCCTTAATTAATCAATAAAAATACTTACGTAGTACTTGCTAAAAATTTTGAAAACAGTATAAAAAACTATCACCCCGAATTACACGCGTGGTGATAATTTTTTGATAATTTTAACTAGGTTCACGACTATTTTTGTTGCTATAGAAAACTCACTTTTGATTTGTTTACTTGTGTAATTACTGTTGATTAGTTGTATCGGTATTTAAATAACATTTGGGACATGAGATAAGCCTCTTGGAGTTCATTATACCATCAATCTTGGTATAACTTTGTCAGTTCTCCTCAAAAATGGGGCGCGCTTGGTACATACCGAGTGAAATTACCGATCAGCGACTAGAAAACCACTTGGATCCTCCCCAGTTCGTCGACATGACGGTGGTCAACGCTGAAACTGGCACTTTACTGTACAAAGTAGGTATCTTCCCCAAGAAGTACGCTCGGAAAGATTCCATTTTTTCAAGGTCAACCTGGATCATGGAGAAACACAATCTCGCCTTCGTCGCCGATTTGGAGAACTCACGCGAAACTCCCGGCCACAAGGATTTTATGCGGACGTCTTTTATCGAACACTCCCACGAGCATCCGGGACTTCGTCTCATCACGAAGGGCTCCGGTTACTTCGACGTGAGGGATCGAAATAACCGATGGATACGGATCGAGGTGGTTACGGGCGATTTCATTTTAATGCCAGGAGGAGTCTCTCATCGGTTTACCATGGATACCAACGTAACTAGATCCCTAAATGTAGATCCTCAATTGCAGTTTTTGTTGTAGGAGAGTATTACGAGGAAGAAGTTCTCGAAGGCATAAGCGGATTATCCCCTAGTTTTATTAAAATTGCAGTTTATTACTAACAAAATTTCTCATTTCTTCCTCCTTTTCTTCTCCTCTCTCTTCATTTTAACCCTTCTGCTTATTGCTCTTGCAGTTCGTGTCATCATCTTTTTCTTCTTCTCCTCATTAACTTTTCTACGCTTATTTCACCTTCTTATTCCTTCCCTTACAATCTCATTTTTTGTACATTCCCTCTTCTTCTTATCATTTTGTTTTTTTCACTTCATTCTTTTAGTAGTTATTTTCGTCCTTTCCACGCTTATAATTTTCTCTTATCTTACATCCAGCATTTTTTCTTCGTCTATTACTGATCCTTCTCTCTTTAATTTCGGGCTCATTTACATAGTACACCCCTCCTTTTTTCCACCCTTTCCTTCCTGAACCCGCTTTTCTTTTCATCTCTATTCCTTCCATCATTTTCTTTCTCCCTTCTCTTTGTGTATCTACACTTTTCCTCATTTTTTACCGCTTCTGCCAGCGAAAAAAGGAAGAAACATAACGTAGAACATGTCCGGAGAGGAAAGGTAGGGATGGGAAATGGTTCGCAGTAGTACAGAAGCAGAGTAAACAAAAGAAACGCAACAAAGCCAAAGAAATGGATGTAGAAAATACAAGAAACGAAGTATTAGGGAATTTTATAATTTATATACAATTACAATAGATATGAAACGCCGATGAATTGCAGAAAGCAGACTTTTACGACAATAGGAACGAGAAGAAAAAGAGAGTAAGAGGGAAAAGAACAGAATAAAAGAAGAGTTTTCTCAATTTTCAAAGGACATCAACTCGGCCTTGAAATTGGCAAAAGGGTTCTTCTAACGAACCGCAACTCGACCTCGAAATGAGCAAAAAGGCCCGTTATCTCTAGATAATTACATTAATCTTTTATAAAAATAAACGAGGGCCCAATAGATCCAATCTGAACTGTCACAAATGAATTAACAAAGGGTATCGCAGGAAGCCTAGGGCGTCCTATGCCGTGGCTCCTACGACCGCAGAGCTGGTCGAATTAACCAAGAACTGGTTATAATGACTAACTGCCATTTCAAACACGAGACTCGCCTGAATCTTGCGCTTTACCATAAACGGCAATTAAAGTTGTATCAGAAAATTGTATTTAAATCCTAAATTTACAATTTTTTCACACTAAAAATTGGCCAACTGACCCTCTTTAAAGGTGGGTTCCGTTACAATGATCTGTTGTGCATGTAAAACACGTGAGAATGTCTCGACCTTCCTTTTTCATAGAAGAGCAAACTGGAATGAACTTCTTATCGACCCAGTCCCAAAACACAATGGCGCATTTTCTTACATATTTAGTCGCACCGTTCACTACGGAAAAAGTAGAGCGATGAGAATTGCAATTGTTAATTTACCATTTTCCGAATATTCAAGGCAAGTTTGCCCTACATCCTGGGGTGGTTCTGGACATGTACCATTATAAACTCCCGATCCACTTTGGCAGTTAGTGTGGCCCTTTGAACTGTTGCACTTGTAACATCTCAGTCCTGAAATTTGGAGCGTTTTTAGTCATCTTAAAAAAGTGTGTGTAAGAGAGTGCTCACTTGCCAAAACAGCATGAACCAAAAGAAGAGTAATCAACAGTGTTTTAATATACATGGTGATTACAGCAACTTCGTACTAACTCATTTGGCACATATATTTATCTCCCGATAAGTAGAACGAGTTAGATTTGGTCAAGTGGGATTATCCGATTGTGCGTCGTTCAGGTGTGGCGTTATCAAAGGTGCTCCTTTTTAGAGGTTTGTTTACTGCCGAAATGAGAAAATCAATTGCTTGAATATCACCGTCTTTAGTTAAAAAAATAATACACCGTCCGTTTAATGGCTTGTTGCAAAAGAAGAAGAAAAGTTGGCACCTGAAATATCCAAATTTAAAAACCTATTGTAAAGAGTTTGAAGAGTTGTTTTCGTGGATGAATAGAAAGCATCTTACGAAAAAATCTTAAATTTTTCGATAGTAGGTACTGGCATATATGACAGAAATTCAAAATCTTAGTACATTAATTCAAAACTTCAAACCATGCTCCTATCAAAAATGGATTAGATTTAGCAGCATATCCTAGCAGCATATCCTAAATTACACACGTTTGTGAAAGCTTCAAACAGAGGATAGGTACAACAACACACAGAAATCTTTTGCATTTATAAAAAGATTTTTTATCAGTGCCAGATGACAGTTTCTTAAGTCATACTTGAAGCAAAATTACTTCCCTGACGCCATCAGAGAGTGATATTGTGTCTTTGATAGGGATATCGCAAACCTTTTACGACCAGAATATTAGCATTATCAAAGAAGGAGGTGTAAATTATTTAAGATCCTTTTTTCTTAATTTAGTTGTTGACCGATTGAGTGCGGAGTATAATGTCTCAACAAGCTTTTCTTTCTTTCAGAGGTTTTGTTTATGTGCTTCGGAATCAATTTTTGTCATTGTCAATCAATCAATTGTGAGTTTATTCGAACCCATTGTGCGACGCGAGAGAGTCTTCATGTTCGATTTGCTTTCTATTTGTGCCCAAGATTTATTTCAGGTGAGTTTAAGTCAATATTGGGATTGTTCTTTATAGCAAATGACAGAAGTGTACGAGGAGAGATTATGAAATTATAAATTTCAAGTGTGATTTGTTTTGAGCTAGCTGGAGGGGTTTTGTGGATGGTGTAGTGACCCCATGGCACTACACACAGCACTATATAAATTAAACTTCCATAATCATAAATAGTGCAAACATTTACACCAAAAACACTAGACTGCACTTTTCATACGCGTGATCCATCACTGAGAGTAAATTATGTCAATTTCAAAAACAAAAATTCAAAATTATAAAAAAAAACATTAAATATTATAACGTCATTCGGTGGTAGTTAAATATAACCCACTGCCCCATTATTTGCCCGACCACAATTAAAACATTTGTTTTGTTTCGATAGATCGCAAGTATTCCTTATGTTACTTTACGGAAACTTTGAATTTGGCACATTTCTCCCCAATATAAGCGATACGGCGACCTATAGGGAATTTGTCATATTTATTAACGTGCATTTCTAGACGGATTTTATTGTTTATGGTTTACCTAGCGACTTAAAGACAGCTTCCTGTAACATTTTCTGCATGATCACCTTTCACTGCTCTGGGTTCAAGGCAATCACCAAAGAACAGTCAAAACGGCCAAAAAGAAGTGAAGAAAAATGAATTTATACAAAACCTATAATAAAGAGAATTGGTGCAACTAGCAGATGAAATGAAGTCAAAGATAAGATTAAGACTAAGAACAGAGTAAAAGTTACTAAATAGTGAGTGAACGATAAAACAAGTTAAAAAGTAATCGTAAACGATTTACATAAAGCGCATTTCCACTTGCATTCATTTCCCATTTGTAAGATGCAACTTCTGTTAAAATCGTAAAAATCCGGCCACAAATATGAAAGATAGCGTTGCACATGGGCAATCCATTTTGACGTGCTACTTCAATTTCAGTTTATGAGAAGAATTTCATTTCAATGCTTTTCTAAATAAGAAAGTTGGAACTGCGCATGCGCAAACCTAAATTTTAAAACTAATGTTAGATTTTCCTTTGTTCCAAGCGCCTAAGTATCAAATTTCACTTAAATGCTTCCATAGATAAAAAAGTTGGCACTGCGCATGCGCAAAATAAAATTTTGAAACTGGCGCTAGATTTTCCTTTATTCCAAGTGCCTATGTATCAAATTCCATTCAAATACTTTTATAAGTAAAAAAGTTTGCAATTCGGTTTATAAATGGTCGAGATGCGAAAAGGGCACTGTGAATTTTGAATCGATTCGATTCAACTTTTGGCATTGCGTATTATATGGCTAAAGCTATGCCCATATTGAATTTCATGCAATTCAGTTCATAACTAACGGAGATGTAAAAGCGATCGAACATTTCTAAACAAAGTTATCGTTCACACGGACAGATAGATGGACAGACAGACAAAGGAACAGCGGACAGACCAACAGACAGACGACAGATAGCAATGCAAAATTATAAACGATCTCTAGGATCGTTAATAAACGGCAAAAGTGTAAAATTATGGAACATGTAAAAAACGGTTTTTTGTTTTTTTACAATAACTTTTTTTGCAAGCGGTACAGAAAAAATTCCTTCCTTGGTACAAGACTCGACACCATAACGAACCAAATAGCGAAAAAAGTAGAACAATAGCTCTTAAGATAAAAAAACTAGTAGCGTCGCAAAGTTAGCGGACGGACGGACGGACGGACAAAGTGGCCACAATAGCGCATTTTTTTTTATTTTTGTGGAAATGCGCTAAAAAGACACTATAAAAACAGACTTAAAAAAGACCAAGAAGGAATTAAATTCTGAACTCTGAATGACATCGTAAGAAGGTATTAGAGGGCGAGAAGGGCAAGGAGACCAACGAACCCAAAAGGTTCGAAGACGTAAAAAAAGCCCAGGAGAAATTTGTCATAATTATTAACGTACATTTGTAACCGAATATTAGTATTTTACACTTATATTATCGTGTCTACCGTTTGGGAGATCTCTCCAACATTATTAGTAGGGCCACCCAGCAGATATTTACCATATTTATTTACGCACCGGTTTTCGACGGAAGTTGAGCAGCTAATGGAACTTGTTATAAATCAAACATAGCTCTCTGTGACGTTCTTTAAACGCCACAAAGCGAACTCTTCACCAGTATAATGGGTTGTATGACTATGGGCACACTTTTGATATTCGTTGAGTCACAAATTGTACCTGGTCTGAACAATCGGTGGAAATACACTTTCCCTTCTTATAATCAAGGGCTAAGTTTAAAAAGCGACGAATACAGAAAACTAGAATGTATAAAAAGTGTGCCCGGAAGAAGTAGGAGAAGAAAAAAAATGGAAACAGGAGGCCAACGTTAGTAAAAAAAACATCAACAAATAAAGAAAAATAGAATAAATTGAAACAAGGAAACAGAACATAAATAGGAATCAGCGAAAAATGGATGTCAAAAGGAGGAGAGGAAAGGAAGAGATGGGGAAAAAAAAGTGGGACTCATCGATTTACGTTGGATACCAATGTAATTACATCTTAAAAGTAGATCGGCAATTACAGTTTTTTTGTAGGAGTGTTTCACAAGCAAAAAGTTCTTGGAAACTAAGCAGACTATCCCTTGGTATTAAAATTGTAGTTTATGGCTAAAAAAGTAAAATAAAAAGCTCATTGTTAATTTAGATGAATACAATGTTATATGTAGATTGGTTCCTCTGCTTCTTCCACTTCTCCAACTAATTCAAAATCTTCTAAATTTCTCTTGATTTCCTCATCAGGCTACTTTACATTTTTCTTTCAGCACCTTCGGCTTCTTTGTTATGAAAAGAAAATTCTCTCCCCTCATGTCTTATTTACCAGCTTTGTGACTCAACGAATATCAAAAGTGTGCCCATAGTCATACAACCCATTACATTGGTGAAGAGTTCGCTTTGTGGCGTGTAGAGAACGTTACAGAGAGCTATGTTTGATTTATAACAAGTTCCATTAGCTGCTCAACCTCCGTCGAAAACCGGTGCGAAAATAAATATGGTAAATATCCGCTGGGTGGTCCTACTAATAATGTTGCAGAAAAATCTCCCAAACTGTAGACACGATAATTATTCATAAATGTAAAATACGTTGGATCTAGAGCAGCGAAAGAGGATCATGCGAAAAATGGTGCAGGAAGCAGATTACGTAAGCCGATACCATTGATAAATGATAATGTTTTGGAAAACAATCATACATCAAACTTAAACTAATATTCGGTTACAAAAATGTACGTTAACAATCATGAAAAATTGCTCCTGAGCACGTTACCGCTTATATGGAGAGGAGTGGCCCAAATTTAAAGTGGTTCCTTTAATCCAATTGTTAATTGCACTGCTTTTGGTTTATTGGAATACTTTTAGTTTGGTCTCCACTCTTCATTTGTTTCCTTTAGGTTTAGTTTCATGTTTTTGGTTGGTCTTCGTTGTCATATTTCTGTCCCTTGTGGTAGCCTTTTTCATCATCCTATTGTTTTTACACTTCAAATGTAGCATTTCGGGTACGTGTGTGGTTCCTGTAACCTTTTTGGTAACTTCAGTCGATTTTTGGATCTATTAGTATCACTTTTTCTCTTATATATTTGTGGTATATGTTCATTCTCTCTTTACTGCCCCTTTAGGAAGTTTTTTATTTTCTTTGTGTCGTTTTTGGTCCCGCTTTAATCCCAATTTTGCTTCAATTGTAGTATTTGTCTTCGGTTTGATTTTAGCGATAATTTTTGACGTTTCTGGACTGTTTAGTAACTTTCTTGAGTTTCTTGTCACTTTTTCTTCACTTTTGCTTTGTTTACCTCTTCGAACCTTTTGGGTTCGTTGGTTTCCTTGCCCTTCTCTCCCCCTAATACCACCTTACCATGTCATGGTCATTAATCATTTCAGAGTTCAGAATTTAACCCCCCTTGGCCTTTTTAAAGTCATTTTTTAGTGTCTTTTTAGTCCTTTTGTTCTTTTTTCTGCTATAAACCTCGTGTTAATACTTTCAGTAGGCAATTGTCTCGTGTGTTTTTTTGTCCTCCCCGTTGTTTCGTTCAGGTGTACTTTTAGTTTGTTTGATCTCTTTTTCTTGGTGTCTTTGCCTTACTTAGCCTCTTTAATCCAGTACCCAGTAGCCAGTTCTTAGTCTCCCTTTAGTTTTCTTTTCTTTTCCCTTAACCCTTAGTAGGTATATTTTTAGAGCTTCACTATCGTCATTTTTGTCTTTTATTGACATTCTACGTCCCTTTGGTTCCTTTGACTTTCTTTTTAAGTTTCTATTTAGTCAATTCTTGAGATACTTATGGCCTTTTTAGTGTTTTAAACAGGCTCTCATGCCACTATTTTTTATTTTATTACTGATTTCATTTTGGTCCAACTTTTCAGTGCATTGTAGTCTTTTTTATTTTACAATATTTGCCTTTTTATTTAATTTTTCGTTTAGCGTTCTTCATCTCTTTGATCTCTCTAGTCTGTTTAGTCTCGTTAGTCACTTTAGTCATTTTTGACCCTTTCTTTTTAACCTTTTTATACTTTAATCTGCTTTTAGTTGCCTATTGTCTCTTTGGTCCCTTTAAGCTTAAATTTTCCTTTGGTTTAATTTCTCTCTTCTCTTCATATCTTGGTATCTTTAATTTTATAAGGTTATTTAGTTTTTGTATTCTCCTAAACCTTGATAGTCCCGTTTTTTATCGTTTACTCTCTATTTAGTACCTTTAACTCGGTTCTTAGTCTTAATCTTATCTTTAGACTTTCATTTCATGTTCTAGTTGCACCAATTCTCTTTATTATAGGTTTTGTACAAATTAATTTTTCCGATTAAATTTTTCTTCACTTCTTTTTGGTCTATTTGACTGTTCTTTGGTGTTTGCCTTGAACCCAGAGCAGTGAAAGGTGACCATGCAGAAAATGTTACAGAAAGCTGTGTTTGAGTCGCTAGGTAAACCATAACCATAACATCCGGCTAGAAATGTACGTTAATAAATATGACAAATTCCCTATAGGTCACCGTACCGCTTATATTGGGGAGAAATGTGCCAAATTCAAAGTTTCCGCAAATGTAACATGTAAGGAATACTTACGATCTATCGAAACAAAAAAAAATGTTTTAATTGTGGCCGTGCAAATAATGTGGTAGTGGGTTATATTTAACTACCACCGAATAACGTTATAATATTTAATGTTTTTTTTATAATTTTGAATTTTTGTTTTTGGCAGACTGCCATACACTAAAAGTGCCCACCAAACGAAAGGCAACGATTAATATCCACGGCCAAAAAATCCTCGATTCACGTCTTCCTCTGCTATTTAAATCATTATTCACTCTCTCAGTTCCGTTCCCCCTTCTGCAGGATAATTGATACTTCGTCTAATGAAATTAACAACCCGTGTTTTCTTATGGGCGAAACATGATTAGCTCCAAATTTAATTAGCTTTACGTAGCGATAAAGAACTCTTATTGCAATTGAATCAAGAGCACGTTTTCTCCAATTTTAGTGAGGCTGTGGTTCTTTTGATGCAATTTCAATTTATTTAACGGGGTAGATATACGGTTTTCCACAGTTTTCATAAAGGTTGTTTCATATAACATATTAATATAATACAAGATAAGATAACATAACGTACCGTAACGTAACATAACGTACCGTAACGTAATGTAACGTACCGTAACATAACGTAACGTAACGTAACTTAACGTAACATTAAATAACATAATATAATATAATATAAGTAATATAGCAGTATTGTATGCAAGCTCTTTATGCTTCTTTATTTCCTTGTTAAGGCCTCTAATATCCGTGACAATTCTAAGCAGATAAACAAGATTATTGATTTTCACCTTCTTCTTCTGGACACCAATCGTAGGTCTCATCAACATCTTCAATGCGTTTGTCTACCAAGCTCCATTTGTCCGCACCCCTTTGATAGGATATCTTCTCAAACGAAATAACGTCAATATGATCCAGCCCTAATCTGTCAAATTTCAAGTCGGCAGCTTCCAGTGGGTTATTTTCCAGAAGTACAACTTTCGTCGGCGGTAAACCCCTTAAGGTCTCAGGAGATGCGATAAGATTTCCGTCCAGCTCAAGCCTATGTACGCTACCCAAACCCCTGAACGTATCCGGAGCCACATCTTTAACGTTGATCGAAGATAGCACGAGGTATTTGACGTAATCGAGGCCCTCGAACGCCCCAGGGTCGAGTTTAATGTTCGCGTTACCAGCGAGATTCAACATTGAGAGTGCTTTGCGATCGGTTCCGGCGGCGAAGCTGTTCTTCGGAACTTCACTTATTTTGTTGAAGCCCAAGTTGAGCTTTCTTAACGTTGCAATGCCACCGAAGAGCGGTGGCACTTCCGTAAGGTGGTTGTCGTGCAAGTTCAGGTCGTGCATGCGCGTGTTTCCGTCGAACAGTCCGTCTGGCAACGCGCTTATTTTATTTGCGCACAATAGTAGCTCTTCTAGATTTTCCAGCGGGCGTAAGCACCGCGGGTGGAGCGTTTGTATTTGATTTTTGATCAGAAATATTGTGTAAAGCTTGGGCAGACCAGAAAAGCTATTTTCCTGTATGGTTTTGATGGAGTTATGGTTTAACAAAAGTAGGATCAGGTTTTCCAAACCATCGAAACATGAATTTGGTAGGTGGTCAATCTGGTTGTAATCCAAATCCAGCCTTCCTAAAGTGCAGCAATTTACGAATGCTCCTTCGAAGCTTACTATGCGATTGCGGGATAGGCGCAGATGTCTATTGACTTTCAGACCTTTTAGTTGCTGACCCGTGATTTCAGCCAAATTGTTGTTGTCCAAGTGTAGCTCGGTGCAAGCACAGTCTTCAAATGCCCCGTTTTCAATGGTTTCAGTAGAATTGTGAGAGAGAATGACCTTGTTCGCCTCCACCTTCGAGAGTGAACCCGCTTTTAACACCTTCAGTTGATTGTGGCCCAAATCCAGCTCCCCATCACGTATCACCAAACCTCTAAACGCGCAGGTTCCAATTTCTGCAATCTGGTTGTGTGAAAAACTCACACGGTATCCATCAATCAGTCGATCGCACAGAAAATTCTCCGGAATCTTGGAGATTTGGTTGTGGGACATGTCCAAGTGAATCAGTTTCTTTAATGGAGCCACTAGTGAGGTATCCAACCGTTGTAGCTTGTTATACCTTAGCACCAAATGAGCCAAATTCTCCAAATCTTGAAAGACCCCATCGTTCAGCGCCTCAATTTGGTTATTAGCCAACTCTAAGTTGACCAGGCCGTGTAAGTTGCGGAAAACTTCACCTTCAACCTCCTTTATTTCGTTATTATTTAGGATTAGAACTCCTAAACGCTCCAATCCCTCAAACACTCTATTTTGCAGGACCTCCAACTTATTGTCCGACAGATTGAGATGGAAAAGCGAGGGCAGGTAAGTAAACGCTCCAGTTTCGAGCTCGGTTAATCCATTATTTTTTAACTCGAGGTACCTCAGGCGATTCAGGTCTGAAAATCCACCATCATTGAGTCGAGTTATTTGGTTGTTGTTGATGTAGAGGTATTCCAGTAATGGGAATGTCTGCTCGAAAAGTCCACTGCTACCTGCTGGAGGTAAGCTCACGTTATTGGAAATCATTGACAATGAAGTAAGCGTCTCCTTTCCTTCCATCTTTTCGATCGCCTCAATTAAAACGTCCACGGATTGATGGCCCTCGAACGACATTTTCTTTATTTTAAGAAAACAGCACTTTTGTTAAATGCACACACCCGAAAAGAACACGACTCGTACAACAACCGCCTATTTTTAAAAGTCGCGAGTGAACTTGGCGTAATTTTTATAAATATCGAACGAAACGTGTCTAATAATAGGCACGCACTGAAAAGTAGTTTATTGAATCTTACGTGTTGGTGGAAATAGCAATGAAGTTTGGGAAAGGGAAAGTTAAACTACCCGTCGTCGCCGATCAATATTCTCTAAAAGATGCGGCGCATGTAACTGGGTGAATGACTCATCATATTCGATGAAAATTAACGTCATTGCTAAAAAAAAGTCGAATCTCGATTTTTGTGATAAATGTGCTAATGCGTTTGATTCGAAGGAATTGTTACTTCTCTTAGTTGAATTATGAATTTAATGTCGAAAGTTTGAGCGATGGGTTGCCGAACGAAAGACCGCACAAGAAAATGTGCTAAAATCTTGCAGGACTTAGCGAAAATTTTGCCATTCTAAAATAAAAATAGGAATAGTAAGCGCATTAACACAGGAAGTGGACAATTACTGTGGGTCAAAGTGCACATGGTCATCGAAAGCTCTCTAGATATACTTTTTGGGCCAACCAGATAAAATCTGCCGAAATAGATTTATAAATATCGACTTTATTGTTTATCTCATGTTTTTCTCCGGTCGTAGATAAGAACATTTCTTATCGTTGCGTACTCTAATTCAATTGCAAGATAAGGACGTATTATCGCCGTATTGAATAGGTGCAGGGCAGTGAAGAGAGGGAAAAGGTTTTAAGTAAGCGTACCGGAAGTTAAACGACCCCTTTTTGTTGGTCGAGCGTTTGATTGGCGAGTACTATCGTGGATCGCGTTTTTCGCACGTTAAAAAACAGCCGTTTGAGCGTATTTGTTATCGCGTTTTAGAAGGAAGTTAGTTAAGTATACGACTTTTAAAAGATTCAAGTCGTGTGTAAAAAATGAACGTTTAGCCTGTTTAAGCATTTACGAAGAAGTTTAATGGGGGTCCTGTGGTTATCAAGCATTTGTCGCTTAAAATAAAGTCCCCAAGTTACCAGTTTAAGGGAGTTTGTCCACCATCAAAGGGCCAATACTATAATTGTAATTGCAACGAAATCAGTGTCGTTTAAATCAAAGTTTGGAAAGACTTTTGGAGTCTACGCTAACCCTACGAGCCTCTCAGGTGCTTTCTTCTTCTTCATATTGTCTGCGTTTCCTTTCTTCTTCTTCTCTCCTGGTTTGCGCATCTGAATCGTGCTATTAGTTTAGTGTTTTTCTTCCCTCTCTTATATATTTCCGCACTTCTTCCTTGTACATTCTGTTTCCTCGTGAATTCTCGATTTTTTTCTCTCTGTTGAGGCGCTTGTATATCTTGGTACCTTTTTTTAAGTTCTTCTTCCATCATTTCCCGTATTCCTCTCCTCCTTTTAACCTCGGTCCATCCCTCTCCGTTTCTTTCGTAACATATTTTTTGTGTTCATCCTTGTTGGCAAAAGTTCTTTGAGCAATTCAATTTCTCTTCCTCTCCTTTTCAGAATCGCCCCGTGCCCCAACTCTATCTTCTCCATTTTTGTTTCCTACTATAATATGTAAGTACTTGGCCAGTGGCCTTTTGTAATATCTACCTTCTTTGTATTCCTTCTAATTCATCCCATTCCTTCCATCCTCGCATCCGTTCTATACGGAATTTTTTATATGTGTGCGTTGAGCTGAGCGGTCGTGTTTGCATCGTGCTCCGTAATAAATGTAATATTTATAATTGAGATTACAACTGTGAAAGTTTTGGTGCGTAGAATCCAAAACAATTCGTACTTTTTCAATCAGACTTCTCAATCAAAAGTTATGGACTAGAAACCAATTTCGAAAGAAAACTTAAAAGGGCTGTAACTTCTGAACTAGTAGCCCAATCTTTAAACTGTTTGAAATTATGGATTCTACGGATCGAATTCTATAAGAAATTGTTTTTTCCCGGTCGATCTCAGACAATTTTTTTTCCGGCCTGAAAAAAAGGCAGTACTTTTAAGTTATTCAAATATTTGAGAACAATTTAGAAATGTTTAGGGAAAGTTTCCATTGTGACAAAATCAAATATAAAAATCCGATACATCTGAATACCGAACTCGATAGTCTACGTAACTTAAAAACAATAAGGACCTTTCTTATATCCTTAAGACCATGTGTACCAATTTTCAAAGCGATCGCACGTTTCTAAACAAGTTATCATGCACACGGACAAACGGATGGTCAAAAATGGATCTGTTCCAAAATCGCTAGGATTAATTTCAGAAAGGCGTACGTATCATGTGCACCACGCTTTGAAAGCTGGTACACGTATTCTTAAGGATATAGCTGGTATAAGAAGGGTCCTGGTAGGTACCTCCTATATAATAATATAATAATAATAATACGCTTTTACTCCCCTTAAATTTGTATATAAAAATAGAAATATAAAAAAAAGCTAACCCCATACAAAGTATAACTTGATTTTTTAAGTAGTATTAAGCCTTTTATCTAGTATACTATTTTAAATTTTTAATGTATTTGAGTGACAAGTATTTGAATACTTTTTGCTGTATTCGAATACTTTTGAAAGTAAGATAATGAAATACTTTTCAAAGTATTAGAATACTTTTGAAAGTATTCGAATATTTATTTTTTTAAGTATTTGAATACTTTTCAATGTATCTGTATCTAGTATTCGCTTGTGCTGGACGTAAAAGTATTTAGTATTCAAATACCTTTGATTTGTGTAAAGTATTTACTATTTAGTATTCAAATACTTTTTGAAAGTATTCTGCCCATCTCTGATATTAACGAAGATATATTCCATACTTTTCACTAACCCTGTATATAATATTTTGAGTTTTGTAAGTTTCATGGCTATTTAAATCTTTGAGACACAATTTGAATATAGATTAGTAATAATTATTTGAAAAATAATAATTTCCTTTGCGCGTTTAGTGTTCCTGAAGTCGCTCAATTTATTAAAACTGCTGACCAAAGGAAATAAAAAACCATTTCTTAAGAAGTCCGTCTGAAAGACATTTTTGTGTCCTTTGTCCACAAATTATTTCAAATATGTGATACAATTCTAGAAAAAACAGGAAAGTTTTTCGCGTAATGAATTTTACTTTGCGCGGATAATTAATGCGCGATTTTGAAGGGCCTATTACAACTGCACTAATACCAGATTAGTTATGTCCAGGGTTATGTCATATTAGTTATTATATACTTATAATTGGAAGCCCATATCATTCTACTTTAGGACACCGGAATAATTGTAACAATATCGTTCTTAGAAAAAGAAATATGATGATGTAAAGATAGAAGAACACGGATTTGCTATCGTGGTTTTATCTTCAAAGACTTTAAACCTTAAAATTAATTATTCCCAGTGTTATTTAAAAATTACAAGACACCATAATTTAATTACGTGCACTATTGACAAGCTATCAATGAAATTTCGTGGCTCTATATTAAGCGGATCCGGAGTAAAAAAAAATAAATAGTGGAGCCGCGCGAATTATCCATAAGCCGTAATATAATAATAATGTCTTCAAACTGCCCCCTAAAGTCACGGCGCTTTTCTGCCTTATCTGTAACAGGTAACACAAACCAGAGGGATAGTGAATGTTTAACGTCCGATACTAATCAGGTAAATCCTATACTATAACCGAAATTAATTCTCAATCAGAATCAATAATAATGACTTTACACTAGCAAAAGCAACATTTTGACTCAACCACGGATCGTCCGTACAAATCGGTGTATAAAAGCATGACGGTGACGTTAACTCAAGAAAAACTACTTTACTATGCACAAATAACTAAATTTCTATACAACAGCAATGTAATTTACTTAATTCAAAATGTAAATAAGATAGTATCAACAAATTCTTCGTAGTGTTACAAATAACGTAATTAAGAATCGTAATCGGTAACGACAAAAGAAAATTACGTAGGATCAGTAATATCGAAGCGATTCATAAAGCTAATATTCTCCAAAAGGTTTCGTAAGTACTTGCAGTTAGATAGGAACAATTAGGTACATCTCCAGGTGTCAATTTTCGAAGTAGGTAATGTAATGTCTCACGTGACGTGGCCAATGTCTATGTCTAACTATAAGAAGTTAAGAGATAAGTTTAAGGGCGAAGATAAACCCTAAAAAATACGTATTAAGAAAAATGCTGAAGTACATAACCTCACACTAATTACTTGCAAACGAACATATGCAAAGCGTGTTCAATGGAGCACAACCACAGCACATCAGAAATAGAGAGAAAATAACCCAAAGAAATATGCTGATTGCCAAAACAGGTAGACACTAAACCAAGTGTAAAAAGTAACGGCGTATCGAGAAAGATTTGCACGCAAAAAATATGATGGCTAGATCGTCTCTGAAGGAAAGAAGTACAGGGAATGTGTTTGCAGAATAGAAAAGCAGATCACGACCTCTAGTGGCGAACCAAAGAACTAAGGAAATATCAAATCTACTATAGAAATAACTGAGATCTAAATTAAACGGGTTTACAAAGAAAATACCTACATAGAGCGAGAATACTAAATTTAAAGTGAGTCGAGTGAGAAATATAAAGAGGCGCAACTCGATTAATTTAGACGAAGCTTAATCCGAGATGCTTCAGTACATCGGCGATTTCGTAGAGTAGTCGATTACCGCAGTTATAGTAGCGTTCGTTTTGTTGAGCGACGTTTAAGCATCAGCGTCGCACGTCTAACACACTCCTCCCACTATGGACTGTGGGGTACGGGAAGCTTCGGTGAGTGAGATGGGGAATATGTGTCGCAATTTTACATTACAGTTACGCCTCTTTACTATTTCTCACTCAACGATCAACGAGTACATTTCGAAGTTGCTTAAATGGAATATAAATTTTAAATATCAATTGGTAAGAAAAGAACGTTACATACTCCTTTCCTTGTTTTACTACCGGTTGCCTTATTACCCATTTGCAATTGACTTGTGCGTTTGAAATAGACTGATTTAGGATGAATAGGTGTTATTGCTGTAGCCAAGGACGTATATCGTTTTTATAATATGCGGCATCTGTCGCGAGCTCTGTGGTTAAAATTTCAAAGAAATATCTCTATAAATAAACAAGTTGGCATTGCGTAGTATTCGCCTGCGCACATCTGATTTTTACAATATGCAATATTCTTGTCTTTACTAGAAGCATTTGGGGTTAAAATTTCGACGAAATATCTCCATAAATAAGAAAGTTGACTTTGCGCATGGGCACATTTCATTTTTAGAATATGCAATATGCTTGTCTTCACTATAAGCGTTAAAATTTCAAAAAATATGTCTATAAATAAGAAAGTTGGCAGAATGCGCATGCGCACATTTATCGTCAAGATTTGACTTGGCTGTAGGAGTAGTGGCCCCCTTGCATGGACGGACGGAGAAAGTGGCCATGATTGCGTCTTCCAACATCTGTTGGAAAAGGCGCTCAATCTAGGTTGTACCATTAAAAAAAATAGAAAACATTTAAGAATAATAAATTTATTAAATTAAAACAGGTTGCAAGCTGTGCAAACACATATCGCATTCACAGACCTCATTACGCTCTTCAGCCTGATAATAATGTCATTACGACTAATTATACAGGGAATTTGGGTGACTATGTTGTCACAAAATTCCATTGTAATTGAGACCAATAATAAATTCATAAGCAGTGAGTTCATGTATAAAATAGGGTGGGCCCTGCGTCAATGTCTAAGGCTGTGTTTGGGTCGTTGGCTCAGAAGGTCAACCCGGCGTCAGAGACCAAGCGTGTCAGATGGGATGGAAGCACTTCAGGGTCTGGCTCAGGGCAGCCTGAAGAGAAGCTTAGAGGTTCTAGAGCACCCAAAGTTGCAAGTGCATCACGAAGCTATGGGCAAGTCGCTGAGGCGGAACTAATGCGTTTGGTATCAAATACCAACAGAATTTTTCATAATTTTTGTGAGTAGTGAGAGGTCAGCTCGCCCCTCCACTTTTTTACGTCACACGTACCGCACTGTATTTGGCTGCGTCATTTTATGGCGGTAAATTTGAATTTGCGCGGCAGATTTGAATTTTAAATTTCCGGATGTTCGCCATTTTGTCGCGGTAAGTTTTAATTTGTGCGGGAGATTTGAATTTTTGAATCTGCGGATGTTGGCCATTTTGTTGCGGTAAATTTGGATTTCGAATTTTATACTGTGATCGGCTGTCGTTTTAAATATACAGGGTATAATGATAGTTATACATACGGTATTTCTGACCATTAGCGGTAAGAGAGTGGGGAATTATAAATTTTACCGCTCTCAAAATGACCACAGCTCAGAACTCAATGGCTGACAGATTAATGCCATTATGACAACTCTAAACAAAATGGCCGAACAAAAACACCTTATGTGTAACTATCATTACACCCTGTATATTTAATATCAATCCGATCAACCCAAAATAATTCTTACACTGTGTAGTTTAGAAGATAATATGAAAGAAATAAGAACACAAATATTAAAGAATAGTAAAATAACTTATAATATAGTATGAAGAAAAATGTCCACAATCCTTATAGAGGCTTGGTCTTACTGATCAAAACTTGTCATTATTGCAATAGTCGCTTTGGCACTCCGAACAGTATTTTTCTCCTGCGTTATATTTCCTCTGCCACTCACAATTACGGTCAGAACACATTCTCACCGCTATCTCAACGGTGACTTTGTTTCTTGTCTCAGCTAAAAAGAGAGAGCTGATACTCGTGTATTAGGTACCATATTACTTACTCCCTAATTTAGATATGCAATAAGCTTGTGATGAACAGTCGTCATTCTTGGTGACATTAACATAGTTACGGCAGTTCGAGAAGTCTTTGGGGGACGTGTCGGTCCTACCAACGCAATCATGGCAATATCTTGTAGAACCCCCTACGAATCGATACGTTTAAGGAAATCAAATTTAAAATAAATACGAGTGTATAGTCGACGTGTATCAAAAAGCGTAGCAACCAAGTTTCTACAAAATAGCCCTACATACCTGAGGCAACACCTACACAAATTAGACCAACTGAAACCAATACAAGTTTAAAATACATGATGATGATACTCGTTTATAAGGTAACCTACGCATTTCACATGCCTTTATACCTACGTGTCAAGAGGGTTAACAGATTAGATATACCTTAAAATAGTTAATGATTATCAAGTTATCTTGTCATTATCATTACGAGGACCTTATTATTTTCGTTCGTAACTAAAAAAAATATTTCATTATTTATAAACGAACCAGTTGCCCTATTATGTCACCAGTGATGGATTCTGGATCATGATAGGAGGGTGGACAGGGTCCACGCGTACCTAGGCCTGAAATTTGAGCCCTTTGTACTACCACGAGTAACCCCAAGTTGTTTCTTGCATTTGCCAACGGCGCATGCTGTCGTTCCTCTCGTCTTTCCGCAAGTATTCCCGTTCCCCGGTATTCATACAGTCGATTATCTTGTCCCGATAGAGCTGTCTGCGTTCTTCGGTTAGTATGGTCATAGGTACCATACGGTCGATAACACACACGGCCTCTTCCGACACAGTGCGGACTGCACTGGCTGCTCTCAGGGCACTCAGTCGATACTTGTGCCACTGTACAACACTGAACCATATTATTTAATTGAATTCGAATTTTATTAATATTTTATCATGAGAAAAAAAAATGTTTCTGTGGCGTAAGTAGGTAGTAACCATGGTAATAGAATCATCAACATTAGTTACGATAATTTATGCAGCGTACTTTAAGTTCCATTGGTGACGCACTTTATAAGAAACCATGAATTTTATAGATAATGAAACTTAGAAACCGTTCAAAATGTCAGTGTTATAAAAAAAGACGGGGGGAACTAAAAACTTAGATTAGAGTGGTTAAAAAGACTAAAGATACTATAGAGAGTAAACATGTCAAAATGGCTCGAGGAGGGGTAAAATTTTACTAACAACGTCAGTGGCAAACAATTTGTTAACATAGACGAAAAGAATCGAAAAATGGAGTACAAGTCTAGACACTTAATTGGGAAAACCACAGAAGGAAAATATTTGCGGAAATGCCCAGAATGTGACGAAGAATTCAAGACAGCAAGTAATTCAAAACGAAATCTGTGGAAGAACGAGAAATTGTTCGCACAAAAACCCCTTTGTTATCTATATTTGAATGCTGGTCACAATGTAGGAAGTTGCAGAAAAGACAGATGTGGAAAGGACGAATATAAAGGGAGAGAACATAAGACTCCAAGATATCCACGTTAGATAGGGCAGCCACGAGTGCATCTAATCGTACCCACCAGAAGACTTTAGGAGATTTTGGGGTAAAAATCTATAAATATAACTTGCGAGATTCGGAGAATAAAAAGGTGCGAATGATGAAAAGCACGGCAGCAAAAAGGAATAAAGACAAGTGGAAGATCACTTTAGATGAAAATAATAGGCTACAATAAAACAGAGGAATTGCTAGGAATAGGAATAGGAGGTTGCATAAAAACCAAGACTTTGCGAGACAATACGAGTGCAGTAAAATTGAAGATTATATCTTGATGAAATGACGATAGAAAGGAATAAGGAATTTGCTGACCTCACTTTGGAGCGCCGGTAAATCCAAAAAAACCGAAACTTCGTTTGATTTTCGACGCTGCAGTAAGAACACATGACTCAATTGCGGAATAATGACAGGACCTGATTATTTGAAACCTCTACCAGAAATTCAGACAATGTGTAATTGCTATAACTGCCGATATTATGGAAATGTTTCATCAAGTGAAGATAAGGAAGGACGATAAATGCGCGTAATGAATACAATATGTAAACTGACAACCGAACCTCTCCCTGTTGGATAAGAGGGGACGGTGGAAAGTATCACCAATTCGTGGTGAAGAGAATAGGTAACCTACAGGAGCTCGAAGGAAGATCGAAGAAAATAATATATTATAATACAGTATAATATAATATAATATAATATAATATAATATAATATAATATAATATAATATAATATAATATAATATAATATAATAAAACATAATGTAATATAATATAATATAATATTTTCTTTAAACTGCACCATCTTGCCGGTATAATGCTGGATCGATTAATGACTTCATTTTCAATGACATCCAAGGTCATTGGCCCATTAATTTTCAAGGTCATCCGAGATCATTGACTTTATTAATTGTTAAGATCGTCCGAGGTCATTGACCCTATTTTTGTGGCATCAAATTATATTTCCAATGTCATCAGAGGTCATTGACCCCATATATCTTTAAGGTCATCTGAGGATATTGATTCCATTTTTTGTTATCAAATTACGTTTTCAAGGTCATCCGTGGTCATTGTCCACATACATTTTCAAGGTCATCGGAGGTCATTATACCCGATAAATTTTCAAGGTCATCCAAAGACGGTGCCCCTCCTCGAGCCATTTTGACATGTTTAACCTCTATAGTATCTTTAGTCTTTTTAACCACTCTAATCTAAGTTTTTAGTTACCCCCGTGTTTTTTTATAATACTGACATTTTGAACGGTTTCTAAGTTTCATTATCTATAATAGTCATTTGTTTCATTAGTACAAAAAATGTGAGTTTTCGGGACGAGGAAGATAGTTGCTGGACGACGCGTTAGCGGAGTCCAGCAACCTTCCGAGTCCCGAAAACGCATTTTTTGTACGAATAAAACATAAAATTTTTTCTCCAACCCCCTTTACTTCAAATTATATTCGAATTTAGATTCAGTCACAGTTTCACTACTAGTATAAGAACTTCTGCTTTCTTGTCCTCACGTGTCATACCACTCTAGTTTTTAGGTTAACTTATAACCTATTCGTTCTTACTTCTTACTTCTTACCCCTCGCGACATTGTAGGGAGCAAATCTTGAGGTAGCATGTTCTGCCGTTTCTAAAATCTCTGGCGGAGTGCAATCCATGTCGCTATCAGTTTCACTCATTTCTATTGTATACACAATTAATATTGTTATATTTTGTATGGAAATAAAAAACTTACTATACAGTTTTTTAATTAAAATTAATTGCAATTAACTTTTTCAAATTTTGAATTCAAAATGACAGATAATAGTGCAATGGGTCTGAAGTAGATGGCGTTATGCGCGACGGTGGGTTGTATAAGTATTAAAATTACGTTCATCGAATATGTAAATTACGTTACATACACATGGTTTAAATAAAAATAGCGAGCGTAAATCATTTTCAATACATGTACATACGTATAGGTAACATCATTATTTGCACTGAATATGCAAAAATATTTGATTTGTATGTATAGAAATATCTTATAACCTGCAATGTAAAACGATGTCAATGTGACATATCTCCGTGATTGTAATTTTTTAATTGGCCAACTTTCAAGGTCAATTTCTTTTTGGTACTAGGACCAAAAGTATCCACTTTTTGTACAGTTGCCACGGTGAAAGCGATTAATCCGCAAAACGTCAATTTTACGTACCGAACACTGTCACAAAATAGCGTCTTATTCAGGTGGTTGGAGAAAAAATTCATTGTTTCTTATAAAGTGCGTCACCAATGGAACTTAAAGTACGCTGCATAAATTATCGTAACTAATGTTGATGATTCTATTACCATGGTTACTACCTACTTACGCCACAGAAACATTTTTTTTCTCATGATAAAATATTAATAAAATTCGAATTCAATTAAATAATATGCTTCAGTGTTGTAAAGTGGCACAAGTATCGACTCAGTGCCCTGAGAGCAGCCAGTGCAATCCGCACTGTGTCGGAAGAGGCCGTGTGTGTTATGGACCGTATGGTACCTATGGCCATACTAACCGAAGAACGCAGACAGCTCTATCGGGACAAGATGACCGACTGTATGAATACCGGGGAACGGGAATACTTGCGGAAAGACGAGAGGAACGACAGCATGCGCCGTTGGCAAATGCAAGAAGCAACTTGGGGTTACTCGTGGTAGTACAAAGGGCTCAAATTTCAGGCCTAGGTACGCGTGGACCCTGTCCACCCTCCTATCATAATCCAGAATCCATCACTGGTGACATAATAGAGCAACTCAAGTCTTTATCGACATTGCAACCTGTGGTTCGTTTATAAATAATGAAATATTTTTTTAGTTTCGAACGAAAATAATAAGGTCCTCGTAATGATAATAACAAGATAACTTGATAATCATTAACTATTTTAAGGTATATCTAATTTGTTAACCCTCTTGACACGTAGGTATAAAGGCATGTGAAATGCGAAGGTTACCTCATAAACGAGTATCATAAACGAGTATCATAATGTATTTTTTCTATTTTCGTGTCACAATTGATGATTTTGTACAACTTGTTTTTCGGCCGAAAACAGTTGTACAAAAGACAGTTGGATTATAGGTAGTTCGTTTTTTTTGGTAACTCATTCTCTTAAGTGGCAGTTTGGGGTTTCAATTAAGGCCGTTGAATGTCCATGACGATTCTAAGCAGGTAAACAAAGTTATTCATTTTCATCTTCTTCTTCTGGAAACCACTCGTAACTCTCATCGACGTCTTCAATGCGTTTCTCCACCAAGTTCCATTTGTCCCCGTCCCTCTGATAGGATATCTTCTCAAACGAAACGACATCAATATTTTCAAGACCTAATCCGTTCAATTTCAGGTCGGTAGGTTCCAATGGATTCTTTTCCAGAAGCACAATTTTCGTTGGCGGTAAAGCCTTTAAGGTCTCGGCGGAGGAGATAAGGTTGCCATCCAGCTCGACCCTGTGTACGTGCCCCAAACCTCTGAACGAATCCGGATCTAATTCTTTAACGTTGATGGACGATAGCAGGAGATATTTTATGTAATCGAGGCCCTCGAACGCCCCAGGTTCGATTTGAATATCCGGATTACCGGCGAGACCCAATATGAAGAGCGCTTTGCACTGGGATCCTGCCCCGTGCGGTTAGGCACCCATCGGGCGCGTCCCCAGGTGGCGGATAGGGGAACGCCCACGCAAGCCCTGAATGATCGTAAGGTGACAAGTGTCTCTGTGTGGGTAGTAGCGATTATAAGTTGCTCGTCGGGGCTGAAACCCAGACTGGCAGCAACGAAGGTCGCTACCGCGGACCAACCTCCCAAGTCAAGGTGTTAGCTACAGTGCTGAGGACTGCGTGACACTGGGG